GGCATTCATGGAAATCAGGTTTTTAAGTGGCACATTGTTGTAAGTTAATATAATTTTAAGATTAGGATTTTTAGGTTCTTAGGATAATAGCCATTGTATTGGAATTTTTTGCACCCGATAAGTTTTTACCGTGTATAAATAATGATTAAATAACTAGATAAATGAATAAATTTGATGTTCAAATGTAACTTCCAGTCCCCCCGTGCAGATAGAAAAAGTGGATCACTGGCGTGAGTAACCAACAGAAGCTGACTTTAGGAAGGGGTCCACTCCTGGGCTCTCTGAACCGGGTCAAGGCTCGAGAAGTTTGAAGTGCGATAATGAGGGAGTTGAAAACAACCAATACTCCATTAACTACAACAGCAAAAAATGTTCAGTAAAACTAGGTTTAATTGAATGAAAATCAGAAACAGGGAACTGAAGAACTGAATTTTCCGTAAGTTTCAAGTAGTAAGTTGACAAACATCGATTTAAGCAGCTTTTATGAAGAAAATAATTTTCAATCGTTTTTAAAAATGCCGCTCTGAGCTTCCGTGTGAATTGGGTCTAATGTTAAAAACACGCTTTTTATTAAAACGTCCCTTAAGTCTATTCAAATTGAACTAAAAAATTTCCCTTCCGTTTCCTCATTTCAAATGCTCATTTGTAACTAAAACTTCCTTTTTAGACAATTGCAACTTCTAAATGACTGTGGATATAAAAAATTCATATCTATGAACTGCAGATTAATAAAGGAATATGAGAAGGTCTTGACTGAATTGAACTCTACTCAAAAGGCAACAGAAAAGTAATTTCAAGCGGGGGCGAGTTGTCTGAAGGCAACCTCATTGACTGAATGCTCTTGATCAATCAGAGTTTTCAAAGTAATACTAATGTATATGATTATTATTAGAATCTGGATCATTAGATAGTGCAATTCAAGAGTTTTTTATCGGCATATACAAATATGGTAAGTGTACGCGTCAACTCAAAATTAAAACGGAGCTAAATGATTTACATAAAATTTAGATTTTGAGGCGTTTTTAAAAAAACAATTTTTCCACTTCGCTTGTTAGATATGAGATGATTATCTATCATTTCATATCCAAAGCGCACTCATAGAATAATTGTTTATTGTACATTAGACTTACAATGAAAACTCTGATTTATCGAGACTGATCAAAGTTTTCCTAGTTTCCATTCTCCTCGCCGTTTAATGTCCTTAGACTTTTGCAAAAATAAATTATGAAAACATTAGGAACACAAAGTGTCTCACCTGGACCTACCCAATTAAAAAAATAACTCTTGCATGCTATGCATGCCTATGTTTTAAGATATGGCAACTATTCTGGGAGGTTAATTTTCTTCCATATGAGAATAAAGCTCCGCACCGTCCGCACTTATAACCGTTTCTATCAGTAGAGCTAAGTGAAAAGGCATTTTTGATAGGATGCCAGTTTCCCTCGTCCGCAAACGGTCGACGACCAGTAATACAACATGGCCCGGGTGAAGAGAAGCATTCATACCCTAATACAGCAATCTAATTAGTGCGAGATACATACCCTAATGCGGCAATCTGATTGGTGCGAGATGCATACCCTAATGCGGCAATCTGATTGGTGCGAGATACATACCCTAATGCGGCGGTCTGATTGGTGCGTGCAACATAACACTCTCCACGCTAACATACTTATCTTTTTTTTTTATAAAAAGAATAATTAAAAAAGCGGTCATCGTATCCTAGGAACGATCACATTTTGTTTGAACAGCTTGCCTTCCTTGTTACCTTAGTATCGAGTTTACTTGATTGCGGGTACAACTAAAATTTATCTTTTCAAAAAGCACTAATACACCTCAAAGAAGCCGTGATTACCTTGAAATTGTCATGTAAATAATAAATTAAATATTTGTCGTTAAACTGTCAGTGTACTCAGCCATCACCAGATCTTCCAGCTGCAGCGTAACTACTTAAACCGAATCATAAAATCTCTAATGCAGGACAAAGTTTCCCCCTGATAGTGGAAATTACGAGTAAAATATCAAGTTTCATCTGAGGAAACAGAACATAGAAGTGCTGCTTTTAATGAAGGAATTACCGTTAGCCAAATCATAGAACTTTCATAAGGGACAAAGTTGCCTCTTGATAGTGGACATTACGAGTAAAATATCAAGTGTCATCCTTATATACCTGAGGTAACAATTCTGTTTGAACACTATAAAGTTTAACTCATGAAGCTTTAGTTACCAGGTACTTAACCTAATGATTCCCTCGCATCATGTGAAGACAGTATCAATTTGGTGAGGTAGAACACCTGAGAAGAGGTGAAATCGGGCTGCCTAGGATTTCACCCACTTCTCAGCAATTTTTGTTCGTCCAAATTTTGGTATCTTAGATCTGAGGGTTTTTCCTTTCCAAGAATGTATTACATTTCCGCTGAAGTTACACGTTTTTCTCAGAAATTCAGCGGATGAAGTCCCTTTAAGGCAAGGACAGGTATAGCCTGGCCCTATTATAAGACTATGTCAGTGGTTGGCAGAAATTCTGACGCACTTCTCGTTGCTAGACGCTCCTACTGTAATGTTTTGAAATTTGATAAAGGCCGAAAAGAAAGGTTTATGTATGTTTCCTCAATGTCATGTTTCTTTAAGTTGCCACGGACCTCTGTTCTTTAATTGAAAAATGTTCCCGCATGTAACATAAGAAAGATTCATATTTATTTCTATTTACATCAGTGGTAAAAATGTCGTGGACTCACGAGGTTGCGCCTGGTGAGTCCGCAGTAAATTTGACCACTGTGATGACGAATATCGTAGTCGATTAGAGTACAGACCACGATACACCATTTTCGCCAATTTATTATTCTCTATTTTATTTTGATTAAACGCTTCCTGATTCTAACATAAGAAAGAATCATATTTATTTAAATTGACATCACAGTGGTCAAAATGCCGTGGACTCACGAGGTGCAGCCGAGTGAATCCGCAGTAAATTTGACTACTGTGATGACGAATACCGTCGTCGATACCAGACCACGCTACACCAATTTCGCCTATGTATTATTCTCTATTTTATTTTGATAAAAACGCTTCCTTCAGTAATAATTTCTGCTTTATATTTAGTGGTTGTACGCTTTATTTAGCTGGATTATTCGTATTTTAAAGCACAGTTAGTTGACATTAACGAGTTTTGAGCCGAATTCATTAGAATTAGAAGCGTTTTTTATTTGACGAAATTTTAGATTCTAACACCTTTAAAAGCCAAGGTGTTCGTTACAGTAACCAAACGAGTGCTGCACATTTCCTGCCCTTGCATCGTAATTAGCGTCATTATTATTACAGCAGGTACCTCGGTAATTTATCTAAGAAAAGGCGAGACTTCAGGTCAATTCCATCTACAACAGAACTATTGTTCTACGCAAGAATACTTAACGTCACTAGCTGTGTTCTTCGTGAAATCTTGTGGATAAGTATTGACTAGATTCTGAAAAATTGAGCTTTGAAATTTTTACACCGCACTTTTTGGGTTCGGCCAGCTCCTCACCAGTCTAAGAATGATAAGGCAACTTCAACTACAACTTTTAAGAATGAGTCATTGCGAAAGGGCAATATTTTCCGTCGAGGAAAAAGGTGTTGATTACGCAGAAATTGAGCAGGTGTACTACAATTGGAAGGTCTAATTCGATGCTCCAAACAGCTTAGCTGCGATCATTCTCCTCTTACGACAGCTTACCTCGATAGGTTATATTTTAGTTCGTCAAAAGCGATGGAATATCGACAGACTGCGATTTAAGAGGACTTTGGTTATTCAAGCATATGGGAGAAAAAAAGTAAAACTATTATTTTTTTTGGTTTTGGAGTAAATTTATCGTTAAACAAGCCGCTACAATAATCATTAAGAGGTTTTAACTTCACATATCTGTAAGCTCACAGCTTTTAAATGTTGACGTATTCCATAAGCTCTAATAAATGATTCAGCAACTGGATAACGCCATCAGCCAAACTAAATAGAGGATTAACCTTTGCCCACGTTTCTTTCCTCAGAACACGCTGCAATATTGCAACAAAAAAAACCAAGTCATGGACGGTAGGAGGACGCGGAACACGTTACCCAAAGAAAGCAAAACCTGTGATGCGCCAGAGCCCATCTCGAACACAATATTTTTAACTCTTACTGTATCTGCTGCACTATCAGCCATAGTGGGGAACATACTCATCTGTATGGCTGTGTATAAAACCAAAACCCTAAGAACACCCGCCAACTATCTTCTTGTCAGCCTCTCTGTAGCAAGCCTTTTGTTTGTTCCCGTGTTGGGGGGTTACTCCTTTTCTTTCACCATCAAAGAATGCGATCCGAGGGCTAAAACCTTGTGCACGTGGTCTTCGAAAATGGATTGGATTTTATTCTGTGTTGTTATGCTTCACTTGCTGTTCATATCGTTGGATCGATTGTTAGCCATAAAACAACCCATGAGGTCTGTGGTGCAAGAAGAAATTCAAATATTGTTGTTTGGATTGCTACTTTGACTTAGCACGCCAGAGAGTACTTTTATTCCCACCGGTCCAACCGGGTAACTCGAGTCGGCGACTCAAAAACAGCCTTCCAGCTTAGGCACTGACAGAAGGGGGCACACTTTACATTCTATTCTATGATAATTACGTGAATGCATTCTTGTCTCCACTGTGTAAAATCTCTTTTCGTATTTACTTCAAATTTTCCGGGATAGGAGTAGTTAAAATAGAATTTTGCGCACATTCTCACCCTTTGATCATAATTTAACCATCAAATTAAGCCCCCACGGTTGTTTCGTATCCAGTCGTTTCGCACCCAAATACAGTAAATTCGTACCCAAATTCGAGTCGGTTCGTACCCAAATCGCTGATCGATTCATACATTTAATCGAAATACTCCACGCACAAGCGCGTGAACAGACGCCCATCTATGCCTACGACAATTAAGTAGAGTCAAGCGAGTAAGATACAAAACAAAAAAAATTTTTGTGTATAGCCTTGATATTCTTAACAAAAACAACTTAATTATTTCCTGGCGCAAGGTGAGTGTGATATTTTTAACAGGAAAGTCTATTTTTCATATATGACTTTTTCTTAACACGAACAACTCGTGTCAAACTAATATTTTTTTCCGTTTGTGAACGTCGAAAATATACTTTACTAGTTTGGGTGCGAAACGACCGGTAACCGAGTAGATACGCCGGCGTGGCATTGACGATGGTGGATCCATTTCTTCCATTTCTAGAACAGCTTATTTTAGTGATAGAACGCACCAGTGGAAAATATCCTTGTTAGTTAACTTAATTTTCCAAGATTAACTTCACAACCCTTCCTAGCCAAAATGCGACAAGAAGCAGGCAAGTGAAATCTGGCTTGGAGGCTACGATTGAACGACAATTCAACAAAGCCACTCCAAACCAAAATGATTGCTAATTGGAGGAACAAACTGGAACTGCAAACTATGTCTTTCATGGTTATTTCTCCTTTTCTCAACAGATACCCTGTCTTGGTGACTACAACACGTTCGCTCGCTACAATTACTGCCCTGTGGGTCGTGGGCATCTTAGAAGGCGTAACACCGAACCTGATCAAAGAAATTATAGGAAAGGAAGGCCACGCACTTCTGGAGCTAGCGTATGGTTGCCCCCGAAGCAGCCTTATTCCACGGGAAGCTCGCATACAACCCATAATGCCTCATTACCTTACTCTTTTGGCAATAGTTATCTTGGTGCCCAGCGGTATCATGCTAGTTTCACATGCGTGGATTTTCATAATCTCCTTTAGACAGTACAGACGAATAAGAACACTAGAGGACGCTTTCTCGCGAAGGCATGTCACTGAATTGCGCGCCGCCAAGACCGTAGCTGTCATCGTGTTTTCAGCGTTGGCTTGTTTCGTACCTGTTCTCGCTGTGACTCTCATCACAACATTTGAGCCGCCCAGCGGTAACTCACTGAACGCTGGTGAAAGGATTGTTAAGTTCAGACTCTTTCCAAGTCTAAAAATTCTGTACTTGTTAGCAATAAGTTTGAACCCGTTAATTTACGCTTTAAAAAGTGAGCCTTTCAGGCAAGCAATCAAGAGGACAATTCGACCACGTCGTGCAATCTGTCGCCCAAACCCTCCAGGGAACAAGTTCAATGAAGAGCTTGCTGTTCGAAATTAGCTCCCAGTCTTCCAAAACAATAAGCGAATGAGGTCTACTGAGTTAGAAACCAAATATCTCACAAAGTCAGTAAGTAACTTTTTTTAAGGGGGGGAGGGGGGGGGGGGGGGGTAAAATTTAAATTGACCTAAAGAACATACAGTGGGAAAACCATTTAAAATAAAATGACGAGGAACGATTTTAGATAAGAGGCATTTTAAGAGACGAGTCTGAGAGCTTCGTATCCCCAATTATCGGTGGGTGCAAAAGCATTCCTTAGGGTAGAAAACTTATGTTTGTACCAGGTTATGGGAATCATATATTTATATTTTTTTAGATATTTATGTATGCAATGCGTATCTGGAGTTAGTTATGACTCAACTTGTACAGAGAAGTCACCATGTTACTGAGTGTAAATCAAACAATGTCATTTCATGTAGTTTAGTCGTAGTTTCATCGATTTGTTATAATTTAATAAAGCCGCATAAACCAAATCATAAATGTGTACATGAAAATTAGCTCAATGGTAAGTAAACAAACTTACTATTTCTTTCATTGTATGGAGGGAGGTGAAGAAAACAGGAAGTGGACATAGGGAGAACATGTCTAAAACAACAAGCTAGAAATTTCGGATTCATCGATGTTTGTCACCAAGTCTTTAAACCTTGTTACCATCTGAGATGAGAGTAGATTGCTTAAAGAAAGAAAATTCATATTGCATATGTGCCAAGTAGCTCATATACTACGGGGGCTTATTTTCAGTTTCCATAGACACAAGACATACCAAGATGGCATGCCAGTGCCCCACCCTGACCATACTCGTCCCCTTGCGTGTCAAATCCCAAATTAGTGAAACGAGGTTTGGTAAAACCTAGCCTTGAGTAGAAAGAAGCAAGGTGAGAAAAGTGTCTTGCTTCAAGTACTACACAATGATCCTTGCCACACTTAATTGTCAAAATAGGGCCTTTTGAATCCAGCTGTGCACGAACCATTGTATTACTTGGATATTGTACAAAAAGCAAAATAATCAAGAACAAAACCAAAACCACAAAAAAGGGAGAAGTGGCCATTATTTTGCTTTCCCATACTAAAAGTCCCCTGGAATGACTGGGCATCAAACACAAGGTTGTGAATCAAACCACCATGTAAATCTTTCATGTCACTGAGAATAAGCCTCAGGAAAGAACATTTCCCTTGATACCCTGCTTCCTTCACACTCCAAAGTAAACCGATACTTTTTGAAGGTAAAAAGCTTTTCCAATTTGTATTTTATTTTGCTTTGCTTGGAATGTCTACCACCAAATGGATATGACGTGACTCTTTTACTATCCATGGCAATGCTCAATATGCCCATATGCCAGTTTGAAAAGAGAACATAGGTAAGACTGATCGGAATGATTTAATGTCTTTCCTAGGTTATAAAATAGTAAAATACGATACAATACAATTCAACAACATTTCTTGACCTCTGATCAATATTATGAAACATCACGTGTCTGAAATAATCCACTCATGAAAAAAAAAAGGCTCTAATATCTCCAGTCCTGCTTACTTTGATCAAGGTTGTTTTGCCTTCATGTTTGACACAGGTCTTGGAAGGATTTCAGTTAAAATGTTGAAGTTCTGTTTATAAAAAAGCAAAAGTGTAGGTAAATCTTTTATCAATAGATACTAAGTTTGAAAGACCTAAGTGGGGTAGTTTTAAGGTCGATTAGTACGTGCACACCTTGATCATAAAAGTGATCTATGAATTGAAATATATGTAATAATGTTCATGATGATGCTGCGACAGCCTAAATGGAGGGTATCAGTGCCCAGAGACGAGCTTCTGACAATCACAGTTGCCAAAACCTTCTCTCCTATCGTTCCTTAAATAATCATTCTGCATGACAAGCTGAAACGCACTGATCAGACTGTGCAATTACAGACCATGTAGCTTTAAGTTACGAAAATTTTTCATAATTAATTACATACCACAAGAGCAAGATAGAACATTCCCAGATATGATGCAATGCCAAGTGCTAGAAACAAATCAAAGACGGCTGGTTTCACCCTGAAAAAAAAACAAAAAAAAAAACATACAAATTCCACAAGCTGCATTTATAAAAAGACATGTGACATGTAAATCCAATTGACTTGGTCAAAATGCAGCAATTCCTTAAACAAAATTAAATGAGAAACACCATTTTTAAATAATAAAATTCAGAAAGTTCTACTCTAGTGGAACAAAACTTCTGAAGTAATTGTTTCAACCTTATTTGGAGTGCAATGTAGTTGTCATGTTTTAAACCTACAAGAAAACCACCAATCAACTTTTTCAATAAATATTTCCTCAAGAAGTTTTTTTCCCATAAAAGATCTTTCATAGATATGCATTGGGTAAATCAACACTAAACAAGGACTATCTTTCAATTCCCATTTCTTACCTGTATGCAAACATCGTTGCATCAGGCCGGTCATAAAAGACAAACTCGGGGTCCCTAAAAACATGCACATAAAACAATATAAATAAAACTGGTTTAGAAAGTCTTAAATGTTTGAGAGATTTCTAAAATGTTACATGTACAGCAAACAAAGAAGTGCAGAGAAGAGAACTGTGACCTCAATCACACATGCATACTGTTGACATGGTAAAAATAGTGAAGTTCTGCACAAAAAAGTTTGGTGTTTCAATCTCAGTATGCAATGTGCAAAAATTTCACATCAAATTTTCGTTGACTTTTATAAAGCATCTCACCTTTTATCAGCTTTTGCTGAGAATCTCTTAACATCTTTGACAAATTTTGAGAAAGTCTGTGAATGTAAGTAAACACTTTTCCATTACATGTATACAAATTATATTCAAGGGTTTTATTACAAAATTACACTAATTTACCCGCTCTAATCTAATATCACATTTCATAAAAAAGAAACTACATCTGGGACCAAAATTGATAATTTTCCATCTCCTCACCAAAGAGCTTATTGATGACTTTATTTCCCAAGTTCTTTTAGCAAAATAGACAATAGCAAAAGTCAAGATCATTTTTACCTGCTCTAATCCAGTAAGAAATGGATGGTCTTTATGAAAAAGCTGAGCTGCCCGTGCTTGGGATCCAAGATAATCCATCCATGTTTTCACAAAATGTGAATCGACAGCCTGGTGAAATTAAGACATGAAATTCATATATTTTGGTTTGAAGAAAAACAAACATACATCAATAATTTAAAAATTCCTATCAGCTTCAGAGTCTAAGGTTAGTGCAAGTACATGTACAATGTAGCTCCAAATCAGGAGAAAAACATCACTGATCAAGGAACCATTCATCAAAATAATAAGCTGGTCAACAAGGTTCTGAAACAAGTGATAAAAGTGGTGAGCTTGTAACTACATGTAAATTGTATTTTGTTTTGTACCAAAACAATGAGGATATTTTATTAGGTTTTTCAAACTGGAGCTTTACTGACTTTAAACTTATTGCCAACTCACCATTGAAGCACTGAACACTCTCATATTCTCTGGATAACCCTGCCAAAAAGAATACAAAATGCAACTGTTAAAACTAACCACTCACAGTATATTGCATTATCTTTCCTAAGACTATGCATGAACATTCAACTTCATTGCCTTAAGAATACAAGTACTCTTGCAAAATGCAGGTAAAAGGTTGGGTCCCCATAATTATTGACCACAATCCTCTTAAAAAAAGATAAATACAAAAAGCATATTTAAACTGGGAAGAAGCAGCAGCCAAGAAACACAAAAATGATCACTCAAAACAAATAATAGTCACCACTTGCCAAGTTATTGAAAATAAGAGAGCAATGAAACAAAACATTAACTGTTCTTATGCTGTAGTTTTGGTAACAGATCTCTGAACCACAAGGACTCTGAAATGGCCTATTGCCACTTACGTATAAATATGTAAAAGGAAAGAGGCTAACAAAGCCTGAAAAAATGCTTAGGGGTAGTCTTTAATCAACTCCTAGCCAACCCAAGAAAAATGAATACAATATAACTCCCAGTCCCTCCATGCAACAGAAATTAATATTAACCATGGCAGCTAAATGTACATGTAAAAGTACATGTATGCAAGTGAACCTGGTTCTGTACACAATCCCAACCTTTTTGTGATCACAATTTGCCCATTTAGAGCTCACCTTTGTTGTTAAATTAAAAACATGTCTGGCCAGAACTTCAGCAATATACTCTACATTACGCTCCAATTTCCCATCATTCTCAGAAGATCTGAAAATAAAAAAGGGGAAAGAAGGTCACATGTATGTCAACATTCACATCGCCAATAAAAGCCAAAGATGACCACAAAATCAAAAGTTTTAAAACAAAAAGTGCTGTCATTATCATACATTATACTGTGTGGTTTTTTGAAAAAAATATGCATACTGCAAACCAGCATCATCTTACATGTTAAAACTAAATAAATATAAGTATTTTTATTTTTGTAATGTACTATTAAAAGTAAAATGTACATGTAATAAGTGAGTATTGTCCTCTATCAGAAGCTTAAAACCTTGAAGTGATCATGTATGTCCAAGAACTGGGGTTTATTAGAGCATGAGACCAGTCAAACAGAATTTACTTCCTAAAAAAGAGTTGCATATCTTCAATGATTAATGAATGTCAAATAAGAGAAACTTTACTGCAGCACTATTTAGGGATACATTATGAAATTGCAGTTTTCAGACTGCAAACTCTACCATAGTTTAGAAAACCGACCCAACTTATAATTACAAAAGGATGTTCACCACAAAGTTATTATTTGAAGCGCTTTGCACACTTTGTGAGTTCAATTTACGTCTAAGTTTATTTTTGTTCTTCAACACTTGAAAACATTATATATTATTACAGTATTTTACTCTGCTAGCGGGTCAGAGCAGAGCTTAACCCCTAACTTACAGCCATATTAACATTTCCTCCTAAGTGGAGATGCAATCAACATTCAATGGGCAAGCCATTCATTTCATACAAGGACATAAACAACTCACTTCTTTTGTATGTAAATAAAGAGTTTCCTCCCAAAAAGTTCTAATTCTACCTAGTTTTTCAGAAGCTGGAGACAACATGTGATGTTGACAGCTGAAGTAATATAAGCAACTAGTGTCAAATATAAAATACATGTACATGTACATGTTTTGGTTTATGTGGGCTAATTTTTGTCAGCTAAAACAAAACAAAAAAGGCCAATAAAAAAATACAAACAAAACACAAGAAAATGATGAAGTAATCTCACCTAACATCAAAGATTGATGACCTTCCTAAAACTTGTGGGTCCTCCAAATGAGATAATGTACCAGCTGGAAGACGCTGTGTGTGCAGAGAAAATCTTTCATGTTCCCATGACAATGTCTCCTCTGCCAAGTTAATTTTCTTGTGGACCATAGTAAAGTTGAGTTCCTTGAATATTTCTTTTGCGACCTAAAAGAGTGATGGAACATAATTCAAATTAATTGATAACTTGATTTAACAATAAATGAGAAAACAAGAGAATCAAGAATTGCTAACATCAGTTAGCATCTACACCTACAGGACAGTACAATTGCTGAGAGGTAGTAATGCAACCGCCCCATCACTATTTTGGTTGCTATGGAATGTGAAAAAAAATCAAGTGACAAATTTTAAAGCAAATGCTACCAACTAGCACCTCTGCACTAAGTGATTATGTAGCAACATGATGAAGTGTTGTGTTTTTTTGTCTAAAGCTTGACTGAGATAAACATTTGCACAAAACATCATTAGGTATTGTGGTTACAATTATTTTTACCCTTTTAATTGCAATCTTTTTACAACATTAGCTGTTAAATACATTGGAGCCCTGAGTAGTTATATTCATTGCAATAAGTTGGAAATTGACTTACCATTTTAAATTCCTGTTGGATTGAAGAATAAGATACTTAAGTTAATGAACAGTGTCTTAACTCACAAAAAGTAGAGCCTACATGTAGATATACAATTATGGAGCTGATGATGACTTTCTGTGGTGGAGTTCATTCAATCTGAAACTTTGGACGTATTCTGGGTGTTGTCTTAGTCCAATTCATCATGGTTGTTGACTCTGAGTAACTTTTACCTTACAAGTCCAATCATTTGAACTGGTTTTCAGATGGTTTGATAAGATAGAAATTTGCCATAGTCTGCATGGCTATTATAGTCATCCTTGTTTTCCTGACTGTTACTGCAAACACTTTACGTTTGTATTTGACTCACCCTGAGGGCTCATCAAAATGCGGTATGACTCAAAAGTGCTCAGCGATACTACACACCAACAAGTGTAATAAGATATATTGAACTCACCTCTACTAAAGAAAATGCAGGAGTTCCTTCTTTAGGAGGTTTGGAAACATGTAAAAACATATGATCTGTCTTCCCAATGCTATCCAAACATAACACATAGTCCACATCACTGAGTACACTTGTTTCTGTTGGGACATGCAAATCAACAACTCATGAAACAAATGTCCAAAAGAAGTTCAGTAGTGTCAGAAATTGATGATTTGATCCTTGGAACCTAAAAGTGATAAGTGTTTAATTTCTCCTCAAAATATCACCCTTGCTTCGCACATTTAAGTCACCAGAATAAAGGAAATGACCACTAACTAAAGAAACTCTTGATTGTTAAAAAAATATTCCTAATCAGCTCCTTAGGATATATGGTGAACAAGATGGAGAATACCAATACCAATGGTAGGGTGAGAAGGGTGAATTCTTGATACATTTAGTGCATACAGTTCAATTCTGATTTTTTGAACACTCAATTTTCTTTTCACCACGCCTGACCCTTGTGTACACATATCTACAAGTACCTACCTGGGTTATCCAGATTGTCTTCAAGCCATCTTTTTGTCCCTTGATAATTGAATTTTCCTCCACCAGACAGAAAGAACACCAAATTATATCTTTATAATGTTAAGAAAATTTACATTATCAGGTAAACCAGTAGGTTAGAAGACTTGTTTCTACATCCAACTATCAAACAGTAAGTGTGCTACTTCAAAAGAGTATTCAGTAATTAAAAGGATACCTTGCTTGCATTCTAGGATCTGCATACAATCTGAAAAAATCACAGAGAATGCATCAAAGTTTACCCAACAAATGGAAATTATATTGATTGCTGTTGTTTGAAATGTTCTAGCATCCTGTTGTCTGAATTTAAAATTTTTGCTGCAGGCTTTACTTTCTCTTCTACTTGAGGCATGTAAAAATCAGCCCAAAAGGGTTTTTGTTTTACATACATGTACAACTGTACTTATGAGGTTTTATTACATATTTGAGGCACAGACTGTACATGTCTGCAGATGTACAATAAGTTAAATTTCATCAGCATTTGGTAGCAAGTGTGAAAGTCAATTCCTCAAATTCAGTCTTCAAAGCTGTATCATGATGCTTTGTGTTTTGCAATGAAAGGATGTGCCATGTTGCATCCTGTTGTTTTGATATTTTTTAAATGAAGTAAAGTATGAATCAAATTTCTTACTAACCTTGAAAACAATCTTGCCAATTCCAAAAGAGCCACAACTCCACTACCATTATCATCTGATCCAAAAGAAATACTCTAAAAAGAAAAGAGATTATATAAACATGAGATAAAATATTGCATACATTTTAAAATATTGCATACAATTGTTCATGCAATAACTATCATTGCACTTCAGATTTCATCAATTATTGGTTTAAAAACACCTATTATTATAATATTAATCGTTTCCTTTCTACCAGCATACAAAGTATCACCTTGATACAAAAACTCAGGACTCATAAATCCTTACTAGGGTCATTCCTCTGAACAGCTACATGTAAACTATAAAGTTTAAGAGCATGTCTTAACATTCACTGCGAGTTAACAATTGCCTTACTGGTGCTATGCCAAAGGCATCATAGTGAGCTACAACAGCAATAGTGGGTAGTTGTTCATCAATTCCCATTCCTGACAACTTCCCCTAAAATCAACAACAGAAAAAAAACTCACAAAACTACACATGAATCTCCTGCTGCTAGAGGCTAGAGCAGCAGACTAAAATGAGCAAGTTAATGGTTTAAAAGTCAGGTTAAAAGTTCATGTAAATCTTGTCTACTCAAATCAAAATAAAATCACCTTTAAATAGAAATCAAATCATAGTGTGTTCTAACAAAATAAATGCACTCCATTTATAAAAAATGTTCAAAATGTTGCAAAGTTCTCTTCCACTCAAGGCAATTCATCTGCACAAGAGTGGCTTTTAACAAAGCTTTTGTTCTCCTTTCCCCTCTCGGCTCAGATAAGGCATGGTATATAACCAAACTGAGTGCGATTCATGGAGAAAGGATTTTCAAATCAAAAAAAATATTGATAATTAATTTTTTTCAATCCAGAGTCCACTCAAAATTTGTTTTTCAAAAACATTTTCTCCAAATTTGAGTTGCAAAAATCTGTTTGTAGCTGTGAGTACAGCTTATACACTGGTATATACAGTAATTATGTATTAAACAGTAAATCAAAAATTATTCTGAATGATACCTGTAAACTTGTAATAGCTGCATCTTTAATCTGTTTGGCTTCTCCAACATTCACGACCATTTGGTATCCACTAGCTGATGCAACTCCAAGTAAAGCTAAAATCACATAGTCAAGAAATATCAACTTACATGTAAATTGTTGGTAAAAACTCAAGGACTACCAAAATCATTGCTCTCTAAACTTGATCATACAGTAGCTACATGTATAAAAATGTAATACAACTCAGTTATGGGTACATTAGGAATTCATCTTAATGTTTCACCAGTAATAAAAGGGTCTACAAGTATTAGTTAAGACTGAAAAGGCCTGGGTGTCCCCAGAACCAATGAGCTGGACTTTGGGCTCAAGCTCTTGTTGTGTCCTCGAACAAGACACTTAAACTTTCACAGTACCTCTCTCTATCCAGGAGTACAAAATGCTAGCAGCAAAAAGCCTGAGAAACTGAGAAAGATGTTGTTTGTCTTGCCAAAGAGTCTCTATGGAGAATTAAACCCCTTGAATATTGACAGAATGCTACATACTTCTTATTCCAGGCTCCTGAAAACTATTGTAGCTTGGAAGGACTAACCTTCTGACTCATAGGCTACAAGTGGTTTTTTCTTTTTACCAACAACTCTTATTGTGCATCTTTTGCCTTTCCTTACCTGATCTAAAAATACAGAATTTGTTACATACCTTCAAATGCTGAACCAGCCTGGTCACTGGTCACAGCTGTTTTGATATCATCATAAATTTTTGATAACTCTTTGTCTTCATAAGCAAAATATACAGCCACTGGAACTTCAACAGTCATAAGATCTCTCTCCAGTTGCTGCCACTCCTAAGAAAAAAGGGGAATGTTCAAAATACATGCAGGTTACTCTGTTCAACATTTTGAGGGTATCAGCAACTCTACATGTCCGAGATACATGTACATGCACTCTTAAAAAAATTTGACCTGCATAAAATTTCCAGGGGTATACATCTCTATATACTATGAAGGTAACTTAGACAACTTTCTTAGATAACTTCATTAAGAAACTGAAATGATTTTAAACACTTCACTGCTCAAAAAGGAATTCAGAGTCAACTCCTTTTCCTTGAACAAGTATATTTGCATGTCTGAAATAACCACAAAAATGAAATTTTGCAGTCTCCTTTCACCTAAACTTGTAAAGTAATAAACTGCCAATTACTGGCTATTGTTTATCTATCTCCTCTTGCCTCATATTCTTGGAGAAAAAAAAAACCTTGAAACATTGCATAGAATTGATTTAAATTTCAAACAAAGAACAAATCATCAGGTACATGTTGAATACTTCTTTAACAAAATGGACAGAAACAATAACCTCAGTGAAAAGCCATCCAATTAAGAGTATTACTAAGCATCAATACTATGCTCAGCATAGTACTGCAAGAATGAAAATGGAATTCAGAAGGAGTCAAGTTAGTTTGCCAAGATGTTCTTCCTGACTCCATCTTAGAGGGTAGTTAAGTAGCAGATTTTAACAGCTAAGCAGGCCATGAATTAAACTCTTTTATAAGAATTTCTACCTCCAACTGTTCAAGGGAAGCCACAGATGTATTTTTTGGGAGCAGAATCAGTACTGCCCCTGCCCCAAGGGTTTGTACAGCATCCTTAAATTTATCAATGGTGAGATCTGATAGCCTTGTTACCACACAGCGTCTTGTCAACATATCAGAAGTCAGGGGTCGTGCTTCCATGTTTACCAGTGAGCTGCGAGATCCTATGATGTAAAAAAAAGTTCATGAGTTTTGTCTACCCTTTACTCATTTGATATAATTTTTCTCCTTTTTCATGAATAGAGAGTACACTGTGTGACCTGTAATTAATTACCTACAAGTAGAAATAGTCTCATAAGTAATGTTTCTTTTGTTCCAGCCTTCTATGAAGATTAATATTTCAGGAACAAATGAACACTGATATGGTGCTTCACAAAGGCACATCCTCATTCCACAGAGATAATCCCATCCCTACTATCTGAATACACAAAAGATTGCTCACAAGCACTATCCTTCTGCCCTTTATGGTGCTAGAATTCCATTTATTTTTCTGCTGAAAATCTCTCCAACCCATCACAAAGAAATATCGTCATTTAGTATCAACACAAGGACAGACATGTAAGTGAAGTTGGTGGTCTTTTCTACTAAAATCTATGTTAAAAGATTGACAATTATTTTAATTAGAAACTGAAGTGAATCATATGACCTTGGTAATGATTTGCTCGGGTCGTATGGACCATAAAATTGTCGTCCAAATACTGAAAATGGGGAGAACTCTTATGTACTCACCGTAAAAAAATATATAATACTGTCACATAAGAAATTTCTGTACTAAATTTGTTCGAGATTTTCATCGAGAAAGCGTGAAACAGGGAGTGTGCATCATGTACATGCATACGGTAAATGGGACCGTTGAAGAATACTCTGTGAATAAATCCATGAATGTTCTTCTATTGTATTGCTTTAGGATGGAAGATTCAGCATTATTTTTGTATTTATGATTTATTCATCGGTGAAGACTTACCGCTTTGAGTTTGGTGAAGGTCAAATTGTTGCATTCTGAATACTGGAAACTCGTGCGCGGCCATGACAGGTGAAGCGGGGCCACTCAGTAGAACTATTGGTACCACAAACAGAACTGATATGGAAACAGGAAAGTTCCTGAATAGCTCCAGAAAATCAGGTACGTTCTCCCACATTTTTATCACGAAATATTAGCGAAAGCAAACTACTGAAGTATATTGCTGCCCGAAGTATTTGACTAACCCGCTCACGAAATCTCGGACGCTTCTTAAGCGAACACGTGGTGTTACATGTAAGCGGTTATCTTACCAGACCCAGACTCCTGAAGTTAACGGTTACCTGTTAAATTGTCAAGAGATTGGGAGCTAAACAAATAACAACCCTCTTGTGTGCACTGTCCCAGTGTTAAATACTTAGGAAATAGCATGAGCACGAAGAAGCGTAGGGTAAAACTCCAGACGTAGCAAATCTTACAAAACTTCATGCCATGATAACATCGCAGTGGCTAGTTATGGCCTCCATGTAATCATGAGAGGCAGCTTGTGGTGATCTTAGGGGAGGGTCCAGGGGCTCCACCACTCCCCCCATCAGGGTTTTTTTTTTCGCTATTTGACTGACACCAAAATTCTGGCAGCATCAGGATCTCTTGTGACTACACAAAATGAACTACTTAGAGTGTACAATTTTGAGAGTTTTTCTTAGCTTGTCTAGCTGTAGTTAACAAATAAAACATTTGTGTTTTCTGCATCAAACTTCAGGTCCCTCCTTATTGAAATGAATTCGTAGATCTACATGTACCCCTGAGAAAGAAGGCAGGCCCTGTGATCAAGGTGAAGTCCTCCTTCACGGTGAGTTTGTCAGAACCACAGGGTTTAAATATCATTGAAAAGCTACAGAAAAAGTAAGAAATTCATTTGCCCAAAACTGACACAACTCAGCTGGCCAAACTTTTTCAGTATCTTAAAGCAAGCTGTTTCGACTAATCAGACCATATTCCGTCTTGAAACATTGTATAGGAAGTTTTCTGAAATACTGGACATTTTCCAGGGTTTAATATAATTACATGAACATTTACAAAATGGGGGAATGTTCCATGAAAATGCACCCTAGGTTCCTAATAATCATTCCTAATAACTGCCAACATTCTCTACTAATATAAGATGTTTGACCATAGAAATTATATATTGCAAGTTGGAACCACAAGTCCAACTGTGAAAATCAGCTTGGAGCACAGTACTAAATAATGGCAAAATGGAAAGGTCAACTGGACACACTATGCCTTATCTATCCACAGTGGCTATATAACAGCCTGAGGACAATTTCAACCAACATGTATGCACCAGGCAAAATATAACATAGATATTAAACCTTATGTGTGGATGTTTGAACAATTTCAAAATCACTAACAAACAGAGAGGAACAAAGCTTAATAAGCAAGATTTATATTCATTCACTACAGAAGAAGAATCCTATGAGCAAGAGTAGACAAATAAAAATAAATAGACAAAGGAAAATGTACAACAAACTGAATCATGACAAATAAGTTATTTTGCATTTTGTTTTTCAAAGCACAACATATGCAAACAAGTTTCAAACAGCCAGGCTGTAGTATCAACTATCACTAACTTTTTATCATTGCATCATTTCTCACTGTTATGAGCACAAACTATTCCAGATGATAAATGATTATCATAACTAATTCTAAATGCACCAGATGATTGTTATTATGGTTTTGTTCTCTTCAGTCTGCTGTTTAATTCTGCAACCTGTGCTTCCACTCTGTCAGGTAACTCAGGGTCTGAAAAGTATTCTAAGAAAAGGAAAAAATAGTACAGTGTAATTATTTGACACCATCTGAAAATGTTGATAAAGTGTTGTTTTAAGTATGGCATCACCAGGAAAAAGAGCAAAAAATTTTGAAACGTATAATTTCTTGTTCTTCTCTCTAGTGAAGCCATTTAAGTACAGCAATTCCTTGCTTGCTTGGGTAATTGTGGGGCAATCCACTCAGGATGTATAAATCTCATACATTGAAAGTACAGACAAAATAAAACCATTCCATAAGGCTTCTATTTTTTTTGCACATATATACAGTAACTGAGCAAATAGTGCCCTCTCTCTGCGAGACATTCTCACAGTAAATACTGTGCATCAACTCAATGGAAACAAAGGCCTGCTAATGGATCTATTCCAAAATAATTTTCAACATGTGAGTAGCATTCATGGATACAGCACCAGATAATTATGCTTCCAAACAAACTTTGTATAAACCTAAAGTATGTATTAACTCTGGAAAACAAAAAATTGCCAATACAACAACTAATCTCTGGGACAAAATCCCAGTAGTACATGTACATGTACATGTACATGCTATGTGTTGAGGAACTTACTTGAAGCAAATTCTCTGACATTCTCAGGTCTTTTTTGCAAGATACTCCTACAAATCAAAATCAGTAAAAATCAGTGGAGCATAATGACTTATCAGAAATTAGTATAGGTAATAGCATGATTTCAAGTGCAATTTGGTGTTAATAAGCATGGATAAATTTTTCGAAGGCAACAAAATTGCATGAGCCGGTTGGGCAAGTGTAATTTGTATTATTTGAAAAATTTACAAGTGCTTTCTGCACCAAATTGCAAGGGAAATCATGTTAGTACTTGTTGAAAATTTACATCAAAAAAACATTGCAGAAAGTCAAGACAGACAAAATTTTGAAAGTGTTCACATGCTTTTTGTAATTTTGCTCTAGTGTTACAACTTTACATTTGTGTTACAACTTTGCTCTTGTATTACATGAAAATGCACTTGTTTTCAGCCAATCAGAAGTGCATAATTTTTTCATGTACATTGTTATATACTAAACAATTATTGGTCAGATCAATTAATGAGAAAGCACTGAGCTAGACTTTTTAACAGAAATAAACCCTTACGTCCCAGATCTCGTACTTCCTGCAACACAATTCTTTTGGTGCTAAATCAGAGAATTTGGTATTGGATCAACTACTAATCCCCTAATTGATGGTTTTCTTTATTCTATTCAACACATATTGTATTGATATTGTAAGGAGAAACTCTGTCTTGGTCATATAACATGTGATACAAAGTTGCATTTCAATGAATGTTCATTTAAAACAAGATAGCTGAATGTTGGGAAAAAAATCAGACAGTCAACATTTCAGGCTACAGAAAAAACAAAATTTACAATTTTGAGCAGTTTGAAAGATTTAAAACCAAAAACACAAAAGATTTTAGTGAACACATAAGCTCATGTTGTGTATGCGTAAGTGTCAAGCAGTAGTTCTTCCAAGTGGAATGAGGACGCTTCTTTTTTATGAATATCTCCAATTAATTTAATGGACACTCACCCTAAAAATCCAGTAAGAAGACAAGATACCTCTGGATGTTCTCGCAAATATTTTTCATTTCCAAATCTTGTTTTTATCTAGTCATGAACAAAAAAATCATGATATGATTTTAAAATTATAGTTACACCTGACCTTCTCCGTTTATTTTCTTCTCATCTCAAACGAAAAGTTACCTTAAACTCGTTAAGTTTTTGTTGTTGTTCTGGCGTCAATGCTCCAACGTCATTTTGTTCCATTCCATTTATTCCAAACATCTTTTTCTCCTCCATTTTTCGAGTGTTGCCTTTTCAATCTTGTGTTTGCTTTTCACTTCGCACCAGTTCTCCCGTTATCAAACGACGTTTTTACATCGATCCTTGACATTTATCACAAGTGTTCCTGTTTACTCATAAAAATGTCGCTGGAAGGGAAACTAATCCATATCTGAAGATTTGTGTCAGTTGTTTGGATAATTCCTTCACGTACAAATACATGCACTCTGAATTAGTTGCTTAGGAACCGCGTCAAACATGATTATTCCTTTCTTGGGGGTGGGGTTAGGATCTTGTTTGCTTTATTGTCTAGGAAAAAACACCTCCATGTTTCTTCATGCTTTTCTCTACAAATTGTTTCCTGCTATGAGAAGTAAGCAAGGGTTGCAACGAGCATTGTGTTTCCCCTAATAATGAATCTGGAGTTTCGATAGGAATTCCTGCAGGGTCTCACACGGGATACGGGCTAAGTCCCGGCGCGATCTCGAGATGGCCCCGAGCGGGATCTTAGCGCGACTAGGACGGAAAAATGTCCCTACGGTATTTATGTACAAGCTTTTCAAAGCGATAAAATGTTAAATTTTTCATATTAAAGCATTACATCGCAAGATAATTTTTTGCGAATGAGTATCTTTTGTTGGCAATTAAAAAAATCTACAAAATAAAGTTTTTTAAATTTTTGGGGTGCGTCGGTTTTGCTTCTCTTTGTGATAGCTCTCCGGAACTGTACCAGAAAAACTTTTATGGTAAACAAATGGTTAAATTTAGTCCATTTTTACGCCTAATGGCTGATTTTTTGCCCTCTCACGGCTAAAATTTAACTCCACTGAGATCCTCAACTGACCAATATAAACTTCCCATAACTTAATTCGCTCACTAAACAGAATATCAAAATATCTGCGTAGATATTTTATATCGAAGTTTAGCAGATATTTGTTTACTGCACTAAACGGCATTTTATGTTAATCAGTGAGTGTTTCGGTATGTTTCTTATGAGTTAAAATATTTGAATAGCGCTATAACAGGTAAAAGTTTTCACCGATAGTCAGAGTGCTGCCAGAATAGTGTCCATAGGTAGATCTAAAGCTCACCCTCAGTCAGTTGCATTATCTGTATTTCAGTTTTGTTTTGCACGGGATATATCCCTCAAGTCGCAGTGGATCCCCAGATCGCTGAATGAGAAAGCTGGTCAGCTCAGTAGGTTTGTCGATAAAGATGATTGGTCTCTGAATTCATCTGTTTTTCGGCTAGTGTATGCCAAGTGGGGCCCCCCCACAATCATTGTTCATTCCAGAATGGCCCTCGTCGTTTTTTTGGCCTTTTCTACGCCAGGGATGTCAGTTTAAGCCGTTCGTGGTAGAAGTTTTTTCTTTCTAGGATCTGGCATGAAGCATCCGAATTACAGGACCAATCATTATTTCGTTTGGTTCTAGGCCTTCTACATTTGCAGCCAAGATCGAGGGCTCTTTCCACTGTGACTATGTATAAGTCAGGCTGGTTAAGATGGCGGAAGTGGGCTTCTTCGAAGATTGGTATACCTTTAATTCCGGCCAAGCCCTTGCACATCGCCTTGTTCATCACTGAGCTTACAAAAATTTGTGTGGAAAACAATATGGGTGTGTCACCCATTGAGGCTGTGCTGTATCGTACTAGATAGTATCCTGACTGGTCATCAACTCGTGAAGTCACCTGTCGAAGGAGCGAAAAGGAAGCTGGCTCGTCCAGTGCAGTCTAAAAAGCCTGTCTCCCGCTCATACAGTGCAAGCAAGTGCCGAAGTTTCGGTTACGAGTAATCCTCTCTCTGACGCCCGCTTTTTATTTATTTTGCTGGTCAGTTTAAGCCTTAAAGACGTTGCTATCAAGGGTGATCACATGACAATTTATGTTGCTAAGCGCAAAAATGACTAATACCGAGAAGGTCATACTTCCGATCTTGCTAAATCAGCGAAGTCTCCTCGTCCGGTTGCCATAACCCAAAAACTAATTAAGCTCTTGCCGCAGTCAAGCGATTCCGAATATCGGCTTGTTCGTCGTATGGTTAAGGGTAAGTCTCGCGAGTATTTCCACTCTAGCAAAAGGGTTTCCGTAAATACGCTGAGATATGATTTTAAAAAGGACATAGAACCTTTCGTGGACGACGTTTCCAAGTTCGGTATGCATAATATTAAGTCTGGTGCCACGTTCAACTCCGCTTATAGGCCTATTCCAGGTGACCTATTGGATATACACACGGGATGGAAGCGCCCTTCTTCAAAGAGTAGATATATTAAGCACACAGTTGATGAGCGTTTAAGTGCGTCAAAAGCACTTTTGCTGCAATTTAGTTGTTCACGTATTTTATTGTTCTTAGCGCTACTTAGTCGTAGTGTGTTAATACAGTGTATATTTAACGTAGTAGTCATATCGGGGGACGTGAGTTGTGCCTGGCCCGTCTCAGATCTCCTTTCTTTTTTCCCTTAGAGGTTTTTTAGGACAGGATTTTTCAGGCCACCCTAGCACGCTTGCAAAATGATTTTATCAATTCTTTATTTGAATTTGCATTATATATTGCTGATTAAAGCAATATATATGGCAGATATATGGCGTTTATTATATCGGGAAGATTCATTTTACATTAAGAAAATACATTTTTTTAAGGAAAACACTCTAAGAAGCAGATATTTCACCAGGTTTTGATTGTTGCGTTGTATTAATTTTTCAGTTGCCCACTCCTTCATTTGACCAAAACAATTAAACTTTAATGCTTTTTGACTTGAAGTCGTTCAATTCTTTTAGAACTTGATGTTGCTCCTCGTTAAAGAAGCTTGGCCGAGGGCCATGATGCTCCTGAACGATCCAAAGGTAGTCTTGCATTGCAGGCCGGACGTTTTCGTGTGTGTTCTCCCAGCTCCAGTACAGATGAGTCTTGTTGATTGCCTGTAGGTGACCATAGCTGAAGAGAGAAGACAACGACGACATTATATTAGTACAGCTGGTTTAATCTGCTCAGTAGACCATGAGATAATAGGATTTTTGATCAAGCGCAGAGCTACCATAATTTAAAAAAAATATATATACATCATCGATAAATTTAAGTGGCCCTGAATGTAATTCACAAAGGGTTAGGAACTTTGCAAGGAGAAGAATCTTCATATGCTGATTAACATGCTACAGGAAAAAAGTCCCCCCCTACCCCATTTATTCGCACATCAAGCTGTTCCTGAAATTCTGAAGCATTGTGCTTGCCCGTCATAACAACTAAAATTTAAGTTTTATGATACTTAGTCAAAAAGCACCCGAGTAAATTAATCATCCCAGTTCTGCCACAGGATCATTGTAAGACGAGGGTCTCAATGGGGTGATGGCTTTTACGGCTAACAGATAAAATTTTGGCCAGTTTACGGCTAAAGGTTAATACTTTCCACTGCGGTCAACAGAAGGATTTTTTACGTTTAACTACTTTTTCACGACTAACGGTTAAAACTTGACAAATTTTTACGCCTAACGGTTAAATCTTACGGCCGTTTTATAGTTAACAGTTAACCCCATTGAGACAAACTTGGTACTGAAACATGAGAATTTCACACTTTCCCCTCCCTGCCGCCTTCAATAGTCCCCCTCCTCTGGACGAGAATACTACTAACCCATAATCTTCGATGTATTTTGCCAGATCTTTTGGGGGAGCTGTACCACCGGACAGCTTTTCCCTTGAGCCCGCAGATCCGGCCACAATGATCGTTATGTAATCAGGGTTAGTATATACATGTTCTTCTGTTTGAATATCCACTTTGCCGCCGTAAGCTGGAATCAACAATTAAGTTCTGTTAGAAATAATAAATATTCCTGACGATGGTAAATTCGCAAGGAAAGATCTCTGCTTCGGCGTTTGAATGATCTGGCAAAATACATCCATCTGACCTCTGGCAGGAACCACAAAGGAGGCGTGAAGGGGGAGGGGTAGGGGGAAATGAAGGTTAAGCTCTCTCACACACAAATTATATTCGAAAAAAAACAGTTTTTCTATCGCTCTACTAGAACATTGCTAATTTATTAGACGCGCAGGTACTAATCGTTCAAAAATGACAGGGTGGTGCGAAAGAGGCAAAACTTTTAGAAACAAAAAATTTCCGACCGAAACCCGAAAATTCTATCCTCCGCATAGCAACGACTTAAATTGCTGTCATTCGATAGAAGATTTTGTGAATGAATTAAACGACCGAAATGGATCATGAATTCACATTATAGTATAATTCACACCACCAAAAAAAAAAACCGTAAATCGTAAATTTTAAATTGGAGAGAGTACAACCCTTTTTTGAGTTACATCTCAAATATTCCACCTTTCCGGTTCAGCGACAAACTTCCAATCACTGATATACATATCATTGTGTCATGTATCCACAAGGATTCGTGATCGATGTTCTAGTTATACAAGTTCCACACCCCAGCCTATCCATGACGATCCTAAAAATATGCCTCCCTACCGACCTACCCATAGTCGTAGATGTATTTTGCCGACATTCTGTCAGGCGCACGAGTCCAGTTGGAGAGTTTTTCGTGAGATCCAGCAGATCCCGCGACAATGACTGTCTTGAACTTAGGATTTACATAAACATGATTGTCTGTTGGATACTCCACACTGTCGTTGTAAGCTGTTTCAGAACAACAATATTGTTAATGGAGAAATCGTCTGAAATCGCTTTACGGAAAACTGAATATAACGCATCTATGGACTGGAGTAGAACCTTCTCAGACGTAAGTTATACCTGCCAACCCTCACACACGTGATTCTCATGTGAATGTCACATGAGTCTCACGCGTGCTAATCGAAAACATCGATCTCAAACATATACAGAACTACCATTTGAGCCTAACTCACGAGTTTCGACTCCTTTTTCACATCAAATGTTTACAAGTCATCTCCAAGTTTAAAAACTTCAGATGTTATTGGTATTTTGGTGGCCAGTTTTCCTCATTTACCTCTTTCACGATTTTATTCCAAACAAAATGTCACCACAACTCTTAGGAAAATGTTCGGAAGTCGTGTGAAAACTTCAAAATCCCATGTAATATGACTGGAAAACCTCCTGTATTATGTAAAACCAACCATAGCATATTGCAATTCCTGAGTTTTGACTGACTTACAAGTCATAGGCTTCGAGAGAGTTGACAGGTATTCTAGTAAGAAAAGTGTTTTGTTAGTCTTAATTTTCCTAGAAGTTTCCCTTGTCACATTTTCATCAATTCAGTTCGATTCCTTTCCGATATGCAAATTGTAGTAACTTAGATTTTTTTGTGTCATATGTCAAAGGAAATAACACCTCTTAATGTTGTTTTCTTGTTTGTTTTGTTGTTTGGTTTTTTCAATCGAGACACTCACGAACCATGGAAAGAATCTTACACGGTCACTTACTTGGGTAGAGCCGCTGATAGTTGTGTGCGTGGCCGCATAGATGTAAGTCCACACCATACTTATGTAAAAGTGGACCAAAAACAGAAAAATCCGTCTTCTCCATGAACCATGACTGGGAAATAATATGGAACAAAATGGGTCAAACAAAGAGGGCGCAAGTTAGGGCAGAAGCATGCATGTTCCAGATCCCTTATGATTTGTCATTTCCGTACCAAAAAGCAGTTATGAAAAGTTATTGCAGTGATGAATGGCAAAGCTGAGAAAACGATCGGCGAAGCGCTGGAGCATATAGGAAGGAAAAAAGGAAGAAACCTGTCAATGTTCCGTTGCTTTCGCATTCTCGCCCTGGTTACCTTTCTTTTCATCGAGCGCCACAAAGAAAAAAGAAAAATAACGCCTTCTCCGTAGCTGAACCATAATCACTCTTGTGAACTTATTCTGTGACGCAAACAAATTTAACAGTTCACAACTCAACCAGTACCTTGTGGGCAAGGGAAACTATCCATGGTGTCCTCTCTCTGTTTTGGTTTGCCTTTAAAAAGAAAATTGCCAAAACTTTGTTTAAAACTTGATAAAAACTTGATCAAGTTTTAGACAAAAAAACAAACAAATACATTAGGAGAAGGCGAAGATTTTTCGATTCACGAGGAAGTTTCAATTTTGGGGAGCGAACATTACCTTGATTAAGTCAGCCTCGAGCCAATTAAGTTGTCTCTGAATTTGACCCTGCAAATAATGAAATAGAGTCAATGACGTTCTGACACTCCCAAATTGACAAGCACTGATATGACATCATAAAAGAAAAGAAGAAACACTTGATGACAAACGGCAATCATCGTGGAACACAAGAGCGTTAGGTAGTTGGTCGATCAGTCTCAAATCTGTTGAAATATATACTTCAGGACGTTCTCTCGATCAAGTGATGGTAGTCATGTTTGGAAAAGAAGTTAATCGTTCAGCTGTGCTTTGTGAAATTCTCCAGTTTAAATAATTGTGGACCAAAGAAAATAAATGGTACCTTATTGGAATAATAGTAGTAGACCTCCGAGTCGAATGCCACGAAATGAATAAGTCCTATGTCCATACTCCACCTTAGAGGAATAGAAATCAGTGAGGCCAGTGAAGCTAAACTAAAGGATAAAAATCACCGAAGCTGGTGAGAACGGAAACCATGTTATGTACTGCATGGGCTAAAATTTGCTATCTCGAATGTTTTTTCGAGGAAAGAACTAAATGTACGTATGTTTAAAAGCTGGAAACTAACAAACCGAAAAAAAAAAAAAAAAAACGAAAAAGAGCTCCCCGATTCAGCCACAATAGCTCTCGATTCATCACCATGTGAAGCTGGTGAATATGTAATTGAACATTTTGTAATAGGCTAGAAAATTCATTTACCAAAGACTGGTTCCACTTCCGCTCGTCTCTCCAACGCCTAGCTCCATATTAGAGAAGCGGTGAACGAAGTGAGTGAAGTTATACATTTGCTGTAAGAATGAAAGTGCGAACATTAAAAAATGAAAATGAAAAACCGCCTGGTTGTGACATCTTCTTTTTTTAAATGTACCTCGTGATTTCCTGGTAGAGCCATGTAGGGGACTTTCGTGGCTATGGGTTGTATAGAGTTCATAAACCTGGAGGAATGGAAAAAGAAACCGGTATTGGGCTATGAGCAGAGTGCTTGTTGGAGAAACTCCAGGGTTACATTGGTTTCCCAAACAAGTCTCTGTCCTTATTGTAAAGGGGTCACACTACACTCTTGACCAATGAAAAGCAAGATCAAATAAACAGCGCGACTCCATTACTTGCGTTTTCCCGCGCTTCAGGACTGTACCCTGAGTTTTCGCTGCATTGGGTCAGCGGTAGGCATCTGACGATGAAACACCCCTCTAAAAGGAAACACCTTCCATACTTACTCATCTCCAGTGGTTCCGTATTTTTCATACATATCATAAGCAAGGTCTAGAAGTAATAAATTACCAATTAGCCAATGAAAATCGTCGTTAGAGCAAGTAAAACCCTGAATGTATCAGAGTATAAAAGGTGAAATTACATCAACTCTAAAATTACACAAAAACTCATCCGCCTCTGTCGGAGAAAGTTTGTCACATGCTACGTGAAATCTGAACTAAATCATGATTTCAACTTGTACAGGCAAACTTATATTGAAGGTCAGAAACTACAGTAACAAAATAGGGTGCTTAAGGGATGCAGAATAGTTGCCCGTACCTCCAGCGTGAATTACAGCGTCAAAATCTCCATCGCTTGCTTCCTTGATAAGTCGATTCAGGCTTACAGCATTTGTGTAGCCCATATCTCCATATATCTATCAAACAATAATGACAATAGCATTAATATGGAGTTGTTCGTTCACTGTTTTACGGGAGAGGACTAGCCACAACGGTTTTTCACTCAGACGAGGCGAGTTTGATGGTTGGAGACACTTTTCTAATTTCAGTGGAGAAAGTCTTGACACGATACCGAGTCCGATAAGGTCAGGAAAGGGTCTAATTACGGCATAATATTACTTTTAAGAGAAAAAAACTTTTGCAAGGCTCAAAAGATGCGTCGTTTAGAAGATTTATCCTGGAAAATCCTTTTGGGAGTATTACGTAATCATCACTTATTTCTGTAGGTCCTGTTACAACGATGTAATTTTTTCATTTCATCTGAAGATGGGCAAAACGATGCATATTTTTGAACATGATGGAAAAGTATACGTTCAGTTTAAAGTTTTAAAGGGAGAGTCCGTGAAAAAAAAAATACACCTCGTATCATTGAAGTTACGGCGGAAAGGTAAAGACTCATATATTTTTTTAACTAATAATGTACCTATTTATTCATAAACAGATTTTTTTGCTAACCCCTTGACACCTTGAATTTGTTTCGGGATAAGGTAACTGAATTATGAATCGCTCTCGTGACATTTACACGAGAGACATTACATCAGTTGAACTCACTGCGAAAACTGGGTTGCCTTCTTTAGTAAAGAAAGACATGACTTCACTGGTTCCATTGTCTGGTACACCAACTTGGTAGTAGTAACGCGTGTTAGGCTCAAGACCTGTTAACTTTATAACATGACGTAACATTTAATTAAATAGAAAATTGCGTGACGTTCCATTAAAAATGATGACATATCTGAAAAATTGTAACATGTGAGCTTTGGTTCCATTGACGGATTTTTCAAGAAGGGAATGGATACAATTAGTTCATTCTTAAAGTATAGATGGTAGACCATCGTAGGTTTCAGTAAAATTTACAGTTTGCTTTACAACTGTTTGTGTGGCTTTGTGGAATCGAAATCACTTCCGACCGGAAATCCTAAAAATCGAGTACCTTCTGTTTCAAGTCGTGTTTATAAATATTTGAGTAGACTCCTTCTCTCTGTGTATTCATCTAGTAGCAAACTTGCAAAACAATTTCTCTACTCTTTAATTTAGACGATTTTACTAAAACTGCGGGGTTGATCCAAGGTCTCTTAGAGATGCACTCCTAATAATATTTAACATAGTTCTTCTTACCTTCACGTTATGAATTCTAAAATAATGTCCGTGGGTGCCGAACATAAACGATGTTCCAGTTTCCTTTCTGGTTAACTTATCTGGGCTAGTTCCATAAGCCACGACTGTCTCTGGTTGTAATTCCGGCGACGGCGTCACGTAATTCACAATTCTCTCGCTGGAAATACCGGTGTAAGCGATGTGAATTTGTTCCGGTTTGTTGTCGTCTGCTGCACTGTACGTGAAACAGATTAGGAGATGAACCAGAACTGTAAACGTAGACATGTTCACTGAAAACTTGACTTCCATTCGCCCGGCTACACTGAGGTCTCAGAGCTTTCCAACTAGCTAAATATTTAAAGACCTTTAGAGCCAGAGGTGCACGTGACAGTCATGAGGGGGAATCATGACGAGATTGAAAGATGACACCCTAAGGCGTTATAGCGCAAAGCATGAGAAGGCAAGCATCTCGTTGCAAACTGAAATTGTCTATACCATTCTTTAAGCACCGATTCTTTCGTTTCACAAATACTTGTTTTTTTAATTTTTTTAATTAAGTATTTGCAGATGCTGTTATTTTAATATTCGTATGTCAGCTGAGTTGGTACATCGAGTGTTTGAGGTATACTTTTGAAATTAATAATTTTCATCGTCAGTACATATGTATGGACTAAAACTCAACCCACACTGTCCATACTCATTTCCTTAAAAAAACAAACAAAAACACGTGCTTTAGCCCAAATCATGATCTTAAATATAGTTACCCAAAAAAACTGAGGTGCCTGTGGAGGACAAAATTTCTATCGAGACTATCTACTTTAATAGCTTGTCATAAAAATAACTTTCATTTGACCTACAAAATAAATATTAAGCAAAGAAATGATCCCACAGGCAATCTGTAATTTTAGCAATTACTACCACCACGTGAGCTTCGAAGCCACACGTCGGGAGTATTGGGAACTACCTTCTACTTTACAGACTAAAGGAGGCGCATCAATCAAAAACGTACGTACCTACGTATTAACCCTTTAAATCCCAGATCAAATTTGTCATTCTCCTTACTGTCAGCCATACAATTTGTATAATGCTAATGCAGAGAATTTGTTATTGGATGAACTAATTATCCCCAATTTGATATTTTTCTTAATTCTCGTCACTCATCTGGTTGGTTTTGTATTGATATTGTAAGGAGAAATTCTGTCTTGGTCACTCATGGGAGTTAAAGGGTTAACTGATATAAGAAGTTCGGATTGAAATTTCTTTATTTTAGAGACTACGTGGGAATTTTCGAAGGCCAAAATAAGTGAAAAAGAAAGGTTTCTAGGGGGAACGGAGCTTGAGGGGGATCAGAGAAAATTGACTGCCAATGAGGGGGATCATTAGGATGCCACATGCCACAGAGGGATTAGGTAAATTTTATTGTGACACGACCAAAATCCTCCGACCACCACCCCCCACCCCCCTCTCTCTCACACCCTGGCGAAAAATGATGACAGGTCCCTCAAGTCACTTACAGGGTCAGAGGGTGAACGTTTGATGCATATTTTATGTGTTCAGGTCACAATACGTATAAGTTTTGTTGCGTAACAAAACTACATTTTTTGTGAATCAGCCAAAACACTAAAAACACGTGTGCAGCGATGTTATGTAATACCAAAATGGCTTAAATGGAAAATAAAAAACACTAAATATTCTATAAGTCAACTTAGACAACCTGCAACCATAGGCAAATTAACCAAGGCCAGAAACTGATTAAAATATTTGGAATAATACCTACTGTTATCTGTTCATGGGTTGAGCTTTAAGTACGAGGCAATATTTCATAAGGAGTTTTAAAAAACCCATTCACACCACCAAACCATGTTCAGTCAGGTCAAGTTGAACTGAAGGAAAATTAACAAAAGAGAACAGACATCCTGAATTTTCCATAGTATTCAAATTTCCTCTAAGGGCCTGTGTACATGGTGCTGGGGAACCCCGGGGGGGGGGGTAGGTGAGGTAACCCGCTTGTCCATATATGATCGCTTATTTTACCTTGTTCACATTTATACGTGAACAAGGCGGCTTGCTAGGTCTAATGGGTAGATGGTAAACATGTCAGCCGGGGTGAAAATTTGCGAAACACGAGTGTAATAAAACCTCGATAGCGATTTAGTCACGTTTTTATTTTGAACTCAACACTGAGCGGAAGCGGAAGTGAAGACGTTGTACCGTCATAAATGGTTAACGGTTATTGGCGAAAATCTTAGAGGAAAATAAATTACGTTTTTTCGGCAACGTTTTACAACACGTCGCCGTGGTGACATCTTAAACTCCCTAATTGTAAGTGCGACAACAACCGCGAGAAACTTCACTCCGGAATCCTAGGGTTGTTAGATTGTATGTAAAGGCGGGCTATTTTTTGACCACAGCTGAGCGGGTTACCTCACTTTCCTGGGGTTCCCCACCTCTATCTAAACAGGCCCTAACTTGTTATTTCAATTTGCTAAATTAGTCGGCGACAAACATTACTTTAAAAAGCTTCTAAAACAAAAACAAACTCAAACTGTTTGACAAAATAGCTTTTAAAGAAAACATGTTTAACCTTTAGTGTGAATGGGGTGTTAGTTTATTAAAAAAAAAATTCGTTTATCAAATTTCCTTTATTACAAGTATGTGGTTATTACAACAAAAAGTGATTTGTAAGAAAAAAAACTTGCGACGTCAAGAACGGAGAAAATTATGCACCGAATGAAAAAATTACAATAGGACCCTAGTTGAAATTAAATATTCTTGAAACAAATAAAGATAAACTAGTAACAAAACAAAAACACTGTCCTTGCTAGACTATAAGTGGTAGTATCGTTACGCCAGAGCAGAAGATACGGATGATATATCCCTCTCTTCTGAAGAAAATATTGTATCATCCAGTTGTGATTGGCATTTTCAATTTAGATAGCATACATTGACTTAACGTACAGCATGCTATTCATTTTCAGAAAAAAAGAAAAAAAAGGAGCTTACTGCGATAGACAAAGTAAGGATAAAATAAACTGAATGAACTGCACCATCAAAACAAAGCAGTTCCACATATAATGCGATGTTTCTTGTTTTTCACTGTCTTTGCTCGGGGTATATCCGGAAATATTTTTCAAAACACTTTGATTTAGATCATTCGTGATCTTTGTAATGAGCAAATTATCATCGATTTGTGGCTGGTATATTACAAACAACTTGCCAGTAGCCTTGGTGAATAAGTCCTCTCAGTGGCAAACATAATAATTGAAAGAAATGATGAATAGACGAGCATAATAGAAATAGCCCCGAAATTGTCATCACCCGAAAGAAGTTTATTTAAATTTTAGGGCGAGTAAAGTTATTAACGCCAGTGAACTTCCTTCGGCGACTAATTTTGATCCCCAAATCACCACGTTAAGCGTTTCTTAAAAGGGAAAAAAAAAGCTTTTAGCTCTTGTTTCTTGGCCAAAAGCCCGAGGAAACTCAGTATAAATAAGAAAGCGTGCAATATCGTGGACTTCACGCAAAGTTGACAAATAATAAATTATTAAGAGGGAAATATAATTCAATTAAGGCATAAATTTATAAGGAAATAATCCCTGCTTCTGACCCCTACACAATGACTTTTTTTCTTTTTTTTTTCTTTTTTTTTTAAGCCTGAATATTTGAGGTGAAACCGAAACATAATTGAATAAATAAGGTTTTTCTCAATCTAGCCTCCAACGTACACAAACAAAACTCCGTAAATTTCTTGGAACGAAATTGTTTTGGCGAATTATAAAGTATTAAGAGGGAAGAGGGAAAAATAATTCAATTAGGGGTATAAATTTCGAAGGTAACTGATCCTCTTGCAGAACCCCAAAGTCTATAACTGTTGTTTTCCGAGCTTTAAGATTTAAGAATGAATGAAAGGAAGTTGTTATCCTAAATTTATGTTTACCAACCAATATTGTGCACAATGTCCAAAACGAATATCACCAACATGCAACCGGTCTTCTGTGGATTTACGAGATGACTACACAAAAGTAGTATCGTTTTTCTGGGAAAGACGTGATTTACAACTCGAATTTGTGGTTTGTGATTTGCAACTGGCCGGCGTTGATAAACTTCCTCTCAAACGTCCTCGGCGGAGATCTCTTCGGTAATTTAAGACATGTCGGATGGCTTTACGAAAGTCCGGCTTAAGAAAGGAGTATACCAGTGGGTTTATAAGCGAGCCAAGAGCGATCGTAAATAACGAAACGATTTCGAGATCGTTCGGGATGAGCTCAGGACGTCCTATTTCGTGAACGACTGTCATATATTGGATAGGAAGCCAACTTACAACAAACATAACGGCTACTATTATAAAGACCTGAGCGAGCTTTCCCTCTGAAGAAATCTTGCTCTTCCGTTGTAAATTTTTCCTCACCGAGGCAGTGATGGCTCTCTCGCGTTCGACACTTCTTTTCACCTGCGTGAAGATTCGTACGTATCCTACAAAAATGAACACGTAGGGTAGTAACACGCACAGTCCAATTTCGCTGACAACGTAGATCTTATGCGCAAGCACGGTCGTGTTCGTTCCCCAAATTAAAGGAATTAAAGAGATAATGAAGGAAAATAACCAGCTTGCGACGAGTATTCCTTTAAAAGCGCTCCTCATGATATTCTCGTACTGCAATGCTTTTAAAACAGAGACGTAGCGATCGAAGGTCACAGAAACAAGATTAAAAACACCTGACAGAAGCGTGATAGAAATCAAGTAACCCATCTCGACTGAATGAGGAGAGACCAGCGCGGCAGGAATTAACACACTTCCAATCAAAAGATCGCTGAACGCAAGCGATACCACGAACCCGTTGGTGTAAGTCCGCATGCTCTTTCGTAGATAAACAATAACACAAACTGTCAAGTTAGCAGCGACGATTAAAGCTGACAAAAACACGAAAGTTATGACGAGGGCCAGATTGTCCGTCATGACTGGTGCGTACGATGTTTGCGGTGTTTGCTTCGCCAGGGCTGTTTTGCATCAAAAGCCTGTTCTTCCAGGCGTCGAGGACAGATCAAAAGGGGATTTGTTTTGGTCGAGTAAATGTCCGCTGTCTGCACGAAACAGTGATCTCAGCCTGCGCAAACGTCGCCAGCAAGTAAAGCGCGTAGAATTTCAACTTCCACATACACTGACAGCTAATAGTGTTCAGATCATGCATGGGACATGCAACTCATGAAAAGCTTCTCGATCGTCTCCCACCAAGATGAATGATACTGACCCGGTGGTTGGTATCTGAGGTGTTAAGTCACAGGAGTCTGGTTATTTAAAGTTTAATTATCCTTTCAGGGTGCTTCACACCACCAACTGGCTTTGACGCATACGAAATCAAACTTTCCTGGCCGCAAGTGTTAAGTTTCTACCTCATTTTCATGGAAGAAATTCTGTCAAATGAACTTGAAACCGCTGGTGTTATCGATCGTCTAAAGGAAAGAATTGGTGGTTTGAAGAATTTCCAATTGCTGATAATGAGAAGTAACCGTAAGTATTGAAAAGTGTTTTCAAACGATTCCAAATAACGGAAAACTCCCCTTCCTCTTCAACTAGAGCTACCGAATCGACTCGATCCTCAACTCACGACGATGGTTAGCTTGACGCAGAGAATGTCTCTGAAAGAAAATGTACCTTGAAAGTTTTCCGTGACGGCGTAACAGATCCCAAAGTTTCGACTATTTATCCTGCGGCGAAGTAATTTATTCCAAACAGAAAGGCTTTCACACCAACCGAGACAGGGAAATATATTTATTCACAGCCGACAGGTGAAGATGATTAATAAAGAGAATGGATTTCCTTTCGATGGGCTTGTGCAATTTGGCAGCCATTCAAGAAAAGAATGGTGGCGATTTTAATAACCGGCGACAAAGTTCCTCACTGACACAACACGAACAAATGGCATTTCTTGCCGCGAACAACGACGCACCACGAAACAAAACACATTTAAAATTATTAGTTGAATTTTAAACCTTAACAGTATAACAGAGTAAACGGTCTTGCGTTGAAACAAACAATTTATCCAAATTGTTTTGATCCTCAATAATCTCAAGTATAAATTTAAAGCAAATCCACGAATCCTAACTAGAATTACCAAGATGAATCAAGAGGGAAATATGAAAATATGAAACTCAGTTTGACGTCTTTTTGCAAACGTTTTTACATAGCAAATGTGCCTTACAAATTAAAAATTTAACGAGAAAATAAAACATCTGCAGTGAAGATCTTTTGTCCAATGATAAAATTCTGGTTGTAACCATTTTTCATATCCGCTGCTTGAAAAGCAAACATTAAAACAAACATAAAGGTAAGCGCTAACACGGACAAAAAAACAGAATTTTCAAATATTCCATAGGTCCAAACTAATTCCCTTGTTTATAATATAAATTTAGTCCTACTAGAGTTTTCTTCAATTCAATTCAGTTCAATCTATTTACTCTTAGTGAGTCCCGAAGTTCAAATTTCACAGTGTGAAATCTAGAAGTTTGAAAGTCTGTCCAAATAATACTGAGGCAGGAATAGTTAAATCAAACTTAGCAATTTAAGCGTTAGATAAGATAAATTGTTTGAATCGATGTTCTTAGTCGAAATTCGATTTAGTAAATTTTCTTTTGGCCTTTTTTTTGCAAACTTGGAAGAAATGCATAAAAAGTAACAAATGAATGCTCAATGTAATTTTGTTCCATTTAAATAGTCGGTATCTGATAAAGAGCGAGTTTGGACTATCTTTGAAGATTTAAATTGATTTATTTCTCTATCCATTTTGTTTTAATTACTTCGCTTACTATATTATCGGTTTTAAATCACATATGCTTCGGCTTTTGTCTAGAAACGATTAGGAAATGAAATATCTCAGCGCAATTTGTAAATGGGTCGCTTGAGTTGTTTTAAGCTTTATCATTTTAAGCTGAAAAACAGAAAACATATTGTTATAAAAATAATCAAAGTGGTTGGCGATCGTCTTACGCTTATTGCTCAAAACACGTTTCGTTCATGCACAATAAATAAACAATCGCTATTAGACGATACACCGTCTTTCATGATCACGGCACGCACTTATTGAACAGGATAAGAAATAAAGGAAAAACTTGTCTCATGTCTTACTACTAAACGTTCTGTTTTGAACCGATAAAATTCCTCAAATTATACTTGCACAAAATTTCTGAACCGATTAAATTCGTGAAAATTCCAGTCAATTACCAGGGCAAATTTTATTCGGTACAACACTGTGCAAATAAAATAAGATTCTTGTTCTATTGGTCTAGACAGTGCTAACTTATGCATACAGACCCTTCTTGTGTTCTGTAATCAACTATTCAAATGCAGTAATTGCTCGCCGAATTCAAATTTTTTAGACCAGACAGAGCAGATCAACCAAATGGGACATGAATAAAATGATCTTATTTTTCAACAAATTAAATTTTTTTTTTTAAAACTCATCTCTGCAATTTTACCAGTTCTTAACTAACGTCAAATCTTCTGGATTCAAGGTTCTATGTGGAATTCATGAACAAAGATGTAACAATTAATTGTTGAAGAGCATTTTTCGCGAAGCGCTTAAAGCAAGAGAGAGTTTTAGGAAAGCGAGCCTAACAAACATATTGTTCAAATGCGCTTACACGGAATGGTGTCCTTACCTCTTGCCAGAGGGCATGATGGCCTGCCGAAGTCTTTTTATGATGGAGAACTGTTATATTCATCCCTTTAAAGGCGTCTTGGCCTCCACATAGATAGCTTTTGCAACGTTTTAATAAAGCACTCGTCTAAGTTTCCTTCGCGAAGGCATTTTTTTAGCTCTTTTATTTTGCTCCAATGGCTACAAATTAACATTCAAATTCGGATGTGAATGTTAAGTTTCATTGTCTTGCAAAATAACGCAGCGAACATAAAAGTTACACAGAGAAGAGAAAGCTAAATTTTTCCGTTGTTTGTAATCAGCAGCATTGTTCTTTTTTGATAACCACTTCCCAATTTAAAATTTAAAAGGCGAGAAAATGTGTTTTGTACCATCTTTTCAGACACGAACGAGAAAGCGAAATAACAAAGGCAGAGGAATAATTCCGACGAGTTTCTAAGTATTTGATATGATACTGCGTTGGGTGTCCCAAATACATAATTAAAACCTTGCCAACGACTAAAGTTAACGACAGTCAATATTTCACGAAAATACACAGTCAACAAAGTTTACTGTGAAACCGAAAATGTTAGCGTGTTTGGATTGGTACCATTTATGAACACACCTCGACCGAGTTCACTGTGAAACCGAAAATGTTAGCGCGTTTGGATTGGTACCATTTATGAACTCTCTCTTTTCATCTTTATTACAAAAACAAACCAAAGAGGCTGCAAACCAAGGCCAAAAGTTTTATTCAGCTTCACCAAATACACTTTTTTTGACGCTCATGTTTTTCTATCAAATCATTAAAAAAACTTGTGATTCTTTGAGGAAAACTTTAACATTGTAGATGATAAAATATAATCTCTGATTTAAGTAATCGGTATAATTTGGTTAAAGTTATACCGATTTCTGGTTACCTTTTTTAAGAATAATTTGTTAACGTGAATAGGAGAATACTTCTAGTACAAATCATCGTCAAATAAATCTTAATAAGTCCACAACCGGTCTACAAGCACTTCAAGTCCACATCATTTGAGTTCAAGGTTGTTCTACAGAAATACAGATAAAAGATACCATACTTTAAGTACTAGTCCTGGGGTGAATATTTAGTTCTTCAGGTGAAAACACTAAACATCCTGGAACTGTATCGTGATTGGCTATGGAACGTCTGATCAAGTTTGACTTATGAACCAGCCGGGGTACAATTGTTAATTTGGGTGGGTCCAAATTTCAATCGAATATGGCCCATGAAGAGCTCTTTGATTGAAATGGGGTTGAAGTAAGACGACTTAACTTAGACAGCTACTAAATTAAACTTCGTTCCTAACATTAGTAAGGGTGTTTTAGGTGTGTTTCAAGGTACCATGTTAACAATGTACATGAAAAAAAAAATTACGTGCTTCTGATTGGCTGAAAACGAGTGCATTCTCATGTAACAGGAGTGCAAAATTGTAACACAAGACCAAATTACAAATAGCGCGCACACGCTTTCGAAATTTCGACAATTTCGTCTGTCTTGACTTTCTGTGATGTTTTTTAATGTACATTATTAACAAGTTATAACATGATTTCTCCTGTAATTTGGTGCAATAAGCACTTGTACATTTTTTAAAGACTACAAATTGCACTTGCCCTACGGGCTCGTGCAATTTTGTTGTCTTTGAAAAATTTACTCGTGCTTATTAACACCAAATTGCCAGAGAAATATCTCTAGTATCTACACAAATTGAATAGCCTTAAAGAACAGTTGATACTTTGATGATAAAACAATTTACGATGTTTGTTAAAATTTGGTGTGGCAACTCAATTGTAATTCTCGCTGATGGATACTACAAAGAATATTAACACATGGTCATCTGACCACTACCACTCACCGACAGGATTCAACCCACACATGTCCTTTGTGATCTTATACATCACTGTAGCGGAAAGATCTGTAAGAGAAAAGAGAATCAGGACTGAAAGTAGCCAACTGAACTGAATTAAATGACTGTATATGAGAAAAAGTGAACATGAAAGCGATCTTCGCGGTAATGAACACTACTTAAGCGGTAGTGAAAATGAGGCCTGAAAAAGTATTCAGGCCTGAACGGGATTTAAACCCATGACCTCTACAATATCGGTGTAGCGCTCTACCAACTGAGCTAACATGACAAGTGGGAGCTGGTCATTATGCTGGTTCCAAATAAACCCTTACTAAATATGACTGTCGTTTCGATAGGCTGGTTGGAAGTTCTCATCAGAGTCTAGTGACGAGTTGCTCATCTCTAGAACTTTAAATGTGTGGTTCTTGAAAACGAATTGGTCAGTGCGCTATGATACTTAAACCAATCACTGTGGGTTGGTCAGTTCGATCTGTCGGTAAGGTGACGTCGTTCTGGCACCTCTGGTTATGTAAGAGTAGTGAGAAAGTTATTTTTTGAGGTGCTGGTAGTTCCAGAAAAATCTTTCGTGAAACGTCCGTTCTGAATTAATTAAGTAGCTTTCTAAAAGCAATCGTTGAAAGGAGTTCGTGCAGTAGACCTTTCTTCAAATGGATGACCACACTTCAAGATGAACTCTTACTCCTGGGCTCTACAATCTACTGTACATAATACTCTATCGTATATAAGTAAATCTAGTGAAATTTCAATTCTGGAAGACACAGACGTCCCTCTAGTCCATACTAAACTATCATGTTTTGTTTGAGAAATACTATAAGGCCTACCACTGACTTCAGAAGCTAAACTTTTAGAGTCTGGACTGAACAACACTTTTTAAACCAAATCAATTTTAGAGTTGTGATCCTGCCCCTTGTGTGTTTCAAGCATGGATAACTAAAGTCGATCACTCACCGGTCTCGTAGTAGTCATACACTGTGACGGAAGCTGGTTTGGTATTCTTCACCACAGACGATTGGAAGATTTTGAACGAGAAATTAACTTTGTCAATCTAAACCAAACGAAACAACGTTAGTAACGCTTAAATCCTATTGAGCTTGACTGACGAATTCTCTCTAAAACAAATTCCGACCGGTTTAAGTTTACAAGGATAGGTTATTTTCTTCGTTGTTTTTCGAAGCCGTTGTGGTCTTCTTTCCATACCTAACCCTTTAAAACCCTAAGGGTGACTAGTATCTAATTTCTCTGGATATTATCACCAATAAATAAAAACATTAAAGTTATCAGAATACAGGAAATGACCACCAACTTAAAGAAGTCTTTATTGTTTAACAAATTCTCCTTGTCAGTACCATAGGAAATGTAAAAAGAACCGTAGGGAGAATGTGCATACTGATGTTAGGATGTGAGGGGTTAAAAGAGGAGCGTTTTCAAAGGACAATCCTTTAGAAACCATTTTCGAAAAGCGCCGTTTTGATCAACTTTTTCGGATGCTTAAGTCGATGTATAGTAGACACAAACACCTCATAAATCCTGCGTGTAACTAAAACCCATTCGAGAGGAGAGGGCCTACAGAAGATCTATATCGTCCGCAAATATTGTCCGCTGAAGTCAGGAAAAACAATCTTTATTTCTTTGTTTTCATTACAAATGGTTCATTAATTCGTTGGCGTTGTCTTTCAAAAGCGTTCACACCAGCTTCTCGACGGCCATTAGCAACAAAACCATTCAAAATGCCTATCCACAGATACTAAACTGAGGTCATAAGAGATTCAAAGCTACGCAGACTGGCTAAAAGAGTTTTATTTCTTAAGATCACTTTGCTGATACGTATCAATTTCACATACCTCGTCAAAGTACATGATCACGTGTTGACCTTCCATCTCGTATCGCTTCAGGCCAAGCTTGGGTTGGTTCGTGAGCTAAAATTATATGGGAAACAAACATTACAAAAGCCAGCAATTTTCATGTTAAATCTCGCAAGTACCTACTTATAGCCTAGGAACACAGCACAATTAGGCTGTAATGCAATTAGGATAAAGTTGATCCTCTAGCCTCGTCATGCGATTAGCATGATTATTCGCGACGAGAATAGACCAACCTACCAGCCAAAAAATGCTGCCTCGATATAACATCAAATTCATTCAACTTTACTACAAAAAAATACAAAAAAAGCAAGAGCTGGCAGCTAAAAGAGGGAACTAAAAGTCAGATCGTCACAACTAAAGGCTTAAACTACTCGGTGTGAATTTCTTTCCATAAAATTTAACTTCTCAATCAGTGGTTGATTATCATTTCCACGTTCTCAAGATTTTCACAAGGTATTGCTCTTTTTAAAGCCAATATTTCCATAGTCTGTTCCCAGACCTACTGTTGTCTCTTGAATCATCTTTTGGATCACGAGCAAGTAAGGAAGCTCACGCTTTATGCGCTCGTTCTTACGCGCTCGCTTCAGGCGCTTGCTTTCTTTACCTAGAAACAAGAAATCACGCCACTGGAGAGGCTAAAATTCCACATTAGTTAGAAAGTGTAAACTTACTCTGTCTAAGCTTTCTTCATCAACCTGATAACCGGATACTAGTTTGACATCAATGACCGCCATGTTGGATGTATCTTCTCTCAACCACCTTAACCAAACAATAAACAATGCCTTGAACACCATCACAAACTTGCCCTAACTCAAAAATTACTGACTTATCTGTCCTAACTGAGGATGCTTTCTAACTTGTTGATCCTTATAGTAGGTGAGACGGGTGGCAGACATGAACCAGGGATAGTAGAACCATAATTCAAAGGGTCCCCTTAGAACTATAATAAGAGTCCCCTGGCGTCCATTTGATCTGCAATCTCGGATTAGTTTCGAAACTCAACCGAAAACTGCTTAGCCTTCAAGCAGACTATAACTGGCACTGCGAGAAACGCCCGTACGGCAACGCCGATTAAAGCTTGTCAAAAGGCTAAAGATTTGGTCTCGACTCTTACTTGGCACTGATCGAAAAATCCAAAGGCAAACACAGAGGATCACCGGTTTCTGTTGACAGTGGAGCGAATATATCATCCGATGGTAACAAGGTGACTTTAAGATCAAATGCTGGTTTCTCCTTCACATCTGGGATGTTGTACGACACGTCCGCCTAAACAGATATCAACCACATCAGTTGTAATGTCTCCCTATAGATTTTGATATATTTCTGCAAAAATTCTTACTTGATGGATTGAATGCCTATCAGTTATCAGCTTGAAAACTAGGCCAAGACATAAGAGAGTTTGAGGGATTTATTTTTTTTTTTGAGAATTGGATTCATAAGAATAACGATAAAAATAAAGATAATAATGATCAGAGTGATGATAATGATAAAGATAATGATAGTAATAATAATAATAATAATAATGATAATAATAATAATAACAGTAATGACAACGATAGTAACCACGATAACTGTGCCGATAAAATACTTATCACAATGATAACAACAATTTAACGACTTGTAAGGTGAAAATTATTTATACATATTTAGAGGTGGAATTGGAACATTCGTTTTTACGAACAAAAGAAATAGCAGCGGACTCGGAGAAATCCCTCGAAACAAGGACGTGAACCCGAAACAAATCACCCCACAGGTGACGGAATTCGAGAATCGAACCCAGGCCACAGTGGTTGGCACCAAGAGCTCGCTCCACTGCATCATACCTGCTCCCTCTCAGCTTTACTTACATATGGACTAAGTCATATAAAAGAACTTCATTCACACTGGATTAAAAGGTCTGATGAAACAGCTTATCACACCAACCTGCATTAAAGCACAGCCCTGTCCGTCAGCCTTCACGAGCATGCTCTTCAGGGGCAGAATACTTGATGGAACCTAAGGGATAACAATATTATTTTTCTTCGCGCAAAAAATAAAAACAATTCTAAATCGAACAGTGAAAAGACCATTCCGCTGAATAGCTCAAAATTTTCCACAAGATTTCATACAAAGTTAACATCGTGAGACTGAAGAGGTTCAGCCCACCAAAATGTTGAAGAACCGAAGGGCGAAGAATGACTTACCGCAGCCTTTTGTGTCACCAGCCTGTTGTTGTCTGTGATGCGGAATGTGTGGCTAAACTGCTCGTTCTCTCCTCCAAACTGAACAGTGAGGTCTGAGGAGTTTGTAAACGTCTCCCTTGCATACTCGCTAAGGGCTTGTAGGGCTACACATGTATCCTGACAAACATGAAAACAACGTTACTACCGAGTTCATTCTTTTCAAACATCGCCTTTTTCGTGGGAATAGGGACTTAGAGAAGACCACGACGGCGACAGCAACGAGAACGAAACAAAATATCGGATGAGCAGAAGAATAGCGCAGCATGTGCGTTTAAGAACTTTGTACATACGTAGTTCGGTTCATACAGAACAACAGCATGAAATCACAAACTTTTGCGTCCTCTTAAAACGGAAATCTCGACAACATTTCAGTCACGTTGTTAATTTAAACCCAGCACTACATTCAAATGATATGCCGAAGATGTTACACACTCAGGAATCGTAAATATAAAAAACTGGCGAAATTCTTAGGATGAAAGAAAGCGGTTTTTTGGGGGGCAACGTTTCCCCAGGTTTCGCTGTATTCACTTCTTAAACTTCTCCCTTTTTAATCCAAAAAGACTTTCAAGGTAATTGTCATAGAAGACAAACCACCGAAACCTTTCTTTGACCTATAGCGTTTACTTCCCCTGTTTATCCTCGCTTCCATGAAGAGGCTTGGTTATAATTCATAGAATTGCCTATAACCTGTGTGGATGAAAATCCTCCCAGAGCATTCCTTTGTTTAGAGAGCCATCTAACAATCGACATGGCGTCGCCAATTAGAGATAAGTCATCTTCAGCTCGAAGGATGTAAGTCATCAGGGCATATGCGGTCATCTCGATGTCCGCAGCAGGAGCACGGTAATACGGACTCCACCAAAAATCGTCTGTAGGAGGGGTTTTCTTCAACTTCTCCTTTTCCCAGTGAGTCATTCCATCTGTTTTGAAAAATATATTAGTAAACTACAGCGAATGCTGCTTTAACTACAGCGTACCAGTATGAGCGTCGTAAGACGTGGAAGGAAGCAAATACATCGCAACTAGATTCCACGTTGTCGTGCGTTTGTACAGTAAAGATCACAGATGACATCAAAATGTTGTAAGAGCACCAGGCGCAGCCGAGTATGTGATTAATGTTCTAAACATATTTTGACATCTGTTGTGATCTGTTGCTTAACAAGTTCCGCTTCAACACGGAATCTATTTGCTTTATATGTTAAAAAAGCAAAAATGTTTAAGTTTTGACGTCATACATGCGTCTGTTCTCCAATATATCATGAGTAAGAGCCATTCAAAATGCGTTTACTATTCAGCTTGTCATAAAAGCATCGACTGACATCATAAGAAGCCTAAACGAATTCGAAGTAAGTACATGTAAACGACCTTAACCGCGTGAAAACACGGATATCCAATTGGATATCCGATTGGTTTACTGATATGTTAACAGGGTGGCGTGAGTTATGATTTATCGTAAAACGTTAACAAGTAAAAAACAAAAATGGCCCCAGATTCCTGGTAAAGGAGGAAAACTGTTTAGCGAAGAAAGGGAGTAAACGGTTTACAAAATGGGAAAAGTCTCCATAAAAATCTATTCATCAAAAAATTTCCTCCATAGCGAGTGACAAAATAAATGCAAGTACGATCTAAGACAAGTTATCAATATATCATTAATTAAATGTCCAAAAACCAAAGTAATCACATCGACCAATCAGAACGAAGGTATACATCATCACCATTAGCCAATGAGAACTCAAAGTGACAATAAGCAAACTACATGAAGCGAATGAATGCTAATGAACAAGCAGCGATTGTTTTAACTTTTGCACCTGATTGATTGATAGTATGAGCGGGGAGTTTTCCGGACCAATCACAGAGCAAAGTTAGTAAAACCAAAGCAATACCGGAGTACGTGAAACTCAATCGAAAATTGCTCAAACACGTACAAGACCTGAACTACCTGGAACTGACCTTCTACGATGGCTTTGCTTCGCAGTGCTCCAAATAAATCAGCACCATAATTATCCTTCGCCAAGTTGAAGGTGTAACTGAACAAAGCCAAGCTGTACGAATCAGTCACGTTTGAAATGAAACCTCTTAAACAATTCAGCGCCTTTTGAATGACAACGTCCTGTAAAAAAAAAGTTGAGTGATAAGTGTAAATAAATATACCATAATCCTGGTTTGTTATTCATTCTACTTTGTACACCTTGCTTTTGGACGCATTTCGGACCTAGGCGCTTTGTATGTCCCAAAGGTACTTCTCTTCAGTTAAGAGGAAAAACATCAGGCAGCAAGCAAATGTCAAGTTAAAAAAGAACCTTCTCTGTCAGGCTGAAAACATGTTTCCATACTCAAGAAACCAATGTTAGCTTCAAATCTACCATGGAGCATATGGTACATAATTAAGAACAAAACGAATCTGATGTATTAGTAAGCTTGACTTGTTGACAAAGAATATAGTAACACTAAAACGCTTAACCTTTTACACCCTTATATCAGTTTGCAAGTTATCCACACCGCTCTCTATACGTTTCCTAGAAATATTTACAAGAAGAATTTGCTTAAGAATCAAGATTTTCGTAACCTCCTGATCATTTCCTTCATTCTTATGAACTTCATGTTTGATTCAGGTGTGACACTGTTGGGAGAAATTAGCTGCTGGTCACTCCTACGGGTTTAAAGGGTTAAAAAAGGATCAGAACCAACCTGAGGTGATATCCCAGATTCCATGAGAGAAACTGTCACAAATGCGGTGAGAGTAGCTTCTGTTGATACACCTCCCTAATAAATAAATAAACAAACAAATAAAAATTTTACATCGGGGCATCAACATTTCTCCCCTTGGAAGAGAATCGCCATTAAAGGTATGGAATAAGAACGATATCACGATTGCATTTCTGTTTATTACCCTGACCAGTTACGTTTTTTAACTTTCGAACTTTTTTTCTGGATTAGCAAGATGACCCTTCTACTTATCGAGTTGTTGTTGTGGTTTAGTCGTTATTTACCTTAAGGTGCTTGTTAAAGAGTCTCCCATACTTGGGGAAACATCCATTTGCAAGTTGCTTGCTGGTTATCCAGTTCGCGGTCTGTTTAAGCTCCTCTGAATCGACAAAGATAAACTTTTGTGCCTGGGCAAAGGAGCGCAGTACAAACGCTGTTAACCTACAGGAACACAAACAAACATGAATGGCGACAGATGAGTAACCCAAATATTAATATCAAATGGTAAAAATATACCAATCATCTTAACGTCAGTATGTATATTCTCCATACTGTTCTCTATACATTTCCTGAGGCGCTGACAAGCAGAATTTGTTTAACAATCAAGAGTTTCTTAGTTGAAGATCGTTCCCTTTATTCTCATGACCTTAATGTTTTATAAAGGGATGATATTGAAGGGAGAAATTAGAATCGAGTTCCACTTAGGGTTCAAAAGGTTATGTACTTTAACTGCATCAAAAAAAAAAGGATCAATATCAGTGTCTGGGCTACTGCCCACCTACCCCTCCCCTAACTCGGCAACAGTCAATTGATAACAAGTTAGGGTTAATGTTGGGTTAGGGGAGGAATAGGTGGGCAGTTGCCCAGATACTGATATTGATCCAAAAAAAAAGCCATCCATAGTCTGAAAGTTACCGACTTAAATAATTTAAAGAGGTAGAAAAGTTTCCCTATGAAGTCTGATGATGACATGTGCTCAGGTTTTCGGGACGGAAATCACCCTGTGCAACGAAAAACACTCCTTTTTTAGGACCACCCGCATTCAGACGATCAGAAAACACGATCAAAGACAGTTAAAAAAAGCTAGCGCGTAATTCTCCTTTTAAAAAGAACAACCTCTGCAAAAATCTAAAGGTATCTTGATAAATATAACGAACACCCCTCTTGCAATTTTAGTTGGGAAAACAAGGAGACCCTGCCAAAAAAAAACATAAAAAAAAAAACCACACAATGGTTCAAAGCACCGATACGTACCACATGTTGCCTTCACTATCTCGGTTTCCAAAAGCGCTGTAGGATCCATCAGTTCGTTTATAGGTCAACTCCCTCTGGTAACCTAGCACAGACGGCAAGAACATGCTAAACTTCTACTTAACACCAGCGCAAACGTAATGGCTCACTAGCCTTTTACACCCTAATATCAATGTGTATATTCTCCGTACTGTACTCTACACATTTCCTAAACTGCTGGCAAGGAGAATTTGGTAAGCGACGAAGAGCTTCTTTATTTGTGATCCAGTGGGATATTGTAAGGAGAAATTAGATGTTAGTCACTCTTAGTTTTCACTCAACTTTATGCTTTGCTTTTATTGTAGAGTGCTTCAGAGCCTTTGCATACAGCGCTGTGTAAATGACTATTTTATCGTTATTTTCTTATCTTAGAGGTCAAACGGTTCAAAATACCATACAGGAAATCTTTGAATCTTTGAGTCACTTTGGGTTACCCTTCGTTACATGGAAAATACAGAGATTGTTGTTTCAACAAATAAAACTAAAAAGAATTCCGTTTTAACTCGTGGATATGTGAACCAGGAACGAGTAATATGGGAGTTCGACGGGCAAATTTCGTGGTGTTAACGCGGCTTTAGGAGTCTGGAGAGAACACCTATCTTATTAAAGTTGCCGGATCAATTGTTGGGGAGGATTTTTGAAGGAATGACGGCTCAATTCTGTTACTTGAAGTCACAGGATCCTTGGCTTTTACTACACTTATTGTATATTCTAATTATATCCTGCATAGTTTATCCACAAGTTCACCATAGTGTCACTTTGACTACCTGTTGTCATGATGTTCTTGGCTTTGTTTTCTACAGAGGTTGTCATCTGCCCGACAGCTGCCAGGTATTGCATGATGTAAATGCTAGGAGCAAAGTTAACCATGTTTTGTTCACCACATCCATAAGGAAGCCTCAACAGGCCTGCTACATTCAAGGTTGGTCCCATAAGATCACCTTAACCATAGACAAATCATGAGATGATCAAACATTAGACTTGCATCAAGACAGATGGTGAAAAAAACAAATTCCTGTTCTAACTTAGTAGAATAAATCTTACAGAGGGAAATAAAGAAAATTCACACCAACAACCATTAGCACCTCAAACTAATTAGATACAGGACGTTAGCCCACTACTTACCAACTGTTGACACAACTGCATAAACAGAACCTGGAACATAATTCTTGGGCAGAGAGATTTCCATGGAATCGTTAAACTGTGAATCATTGACTGAAATTTACAAGAATAAACCATGATACGTTATTCCTGAATATACACACTTTGTTAAAACTCTCCTACAGACACAACAAAGATGAAGTTAAGGCCTTTTCTCATTCATTTTTTCGTCTTCTAGCAGTGCTCCTTTGACACACAGCCACGCCTTATTCACGGCCACGATAACCTGTGGGTAGTTATGTAACTAGTTGGGTCTTTTGATATGCAAGAAAAATAAAGAAAAGAAATTTGAAACTAATTGCACGAAGAGCATTTTCAATTGACTGTCGAAAGTAATATGCGATTGCTTTTGTTTTGCTAGACTTCGCTATGTTATTGGTCAAAAAAACTCGCACCATTCTCTAAACCAATCAGACGCAAAACCAAAACCAACCACGACTTAGTCGCCCGTGCGGGTTTTCCCGCGCTTTAGGCAGTTTGGTTGTTTTTACTTTGAATTCTCATTGGCTCTGAAAGGTATTTTCCTTTCTTCTGATTAGCTGCTGTGATTACTTCGCTTTTGATTTTACGACATTCAATCGAAAAGCAGTCTAAAGTTCATCAGCTTGATAAATTGAAATCTCGATAGGAACTGAAGGTAAACAGAAAAAGCCCTTCATACCTTTGAGGCATACAAAGCTGTTGTACGTGTACTCCTGTCGGATTCCTTCAGGCTAAATGATCAAGAAAAGTACAAATGTAGGAGTGAGAAACTACAATAAAGACGACCTTTCACAAAACCTAAAGTTCTCCACAGCACCGAATAAAACGGTGGTAATCACTGGTCTTAAAATGTGAATACTAAAGAAAATTCCATAATATAGCCAGAAATTAGAGACCACGACAGTGTGCCGATCACCTTAGGGCAGGCAAGGTGATATTGTTACTTAACCCAGCACCTCGAGTTAGAAAAGATTCACCTGAACACCACCTCGATTTTCATTTGATAACCGCAACTTCAGTGTAGTTCATGAACACAGTGTAATAATAGGGTAAAAAAAAAATCACTAATTGCACCTCAACAAGTAATTTCCTTGTGACAGCATCAGTGACACCAAGAGCAAACTGTTCTACTCCTTCATCACACATTGATGAATTGATATCTTTAGCCACAACAGTCAGAGGGATTTCACCCAATTTCTTTGGAACTATGTTGAAGCGAACAGAGATGGCTTCATTGCTGCATACACAGACAGAGCGAGACTTATTGGACACTATCCTGTAGTAAAGAGACTCTTCGAGAGTCAGGCGAATCTACAACAGAAGAAAACAGAGAGAGAGACATGTTTAGCGAGGTTGTTAAAAAAATCTCGTTCCGACAAAAGGGCTAAAATGTGTTTCTTTATTTGTTAAAAATATCTATTACGTTTTCCTTAGAGTGCAAATTGCTGTTATAATTGACACTATTCTATGAGAGTAAAGAGTAAAGTTTGTCAACCCTTCAGTATCTATCTTTTCCATGCTCTTCTCTATTTCCTCTGACACTGTCAAGGAAAATTCGTTTTAACAATCAAAGCTTCTTAGATTGATGATCATTTCCTTTATTCTCATGATCTCTAATAATGCATGGTTCCGAAGTATTACTGTAAATATTCAGACTGAGTAGTAAATATTACTGTGAGGAGAAATTAGAAGCTGGTCACTTTCAGGATTCAAACGGTTAACGTGCTAAATAAAGAATTTATCCCACCGTACCCAAATAAGTTCCAAGTGAATGTTATGACTCAAAATGGGGCAACCAAGCGTCTTGTTCACTCTCAAACGGGAATGTGAATTATGTATAAAAAGGTCAAAAAACTATGGATGATGTGAGAATGTGTCTTCAATTCTGAGTAATTTATTGAAACAAAACCTCAAGTGAGTATTAAGAAATTTTTTGCATCCTCAGTTGTCCATAATTTGCTGCACAAATGCATGTGGATCGGCAGATACATAACTACATAATCTGTATACACTTCTAAGTTAGGGATTTCGTAATTCAAGCAGGGATACGTCCCATTTTGATTCAACACATTCTATCAGAAATCAAAGAAATTAAGAACCATAGTTATTCCTGCAGTTGGTAGCACTTACCGTAAGACACTTGCTCTCATAGTTGAAGACTGTTGCTATAATGAACACTTCCTCGCCACGGATAACAGAGTAAGGCAGGGTTATGGAAACAAAGAAAGGCTGGAAAACCTTGAGCGAGGTGGGCTGTGAAATACCAAGTCCAGCTGAATCAGACATAGCGAAAGCACTTGCTACCCAGGTAGTGATTGTGTCAGGTACCTTGGCCATGATAACTTTCTTTCCAGTATCAGGGCTGTTCAATTAAAAAATAATATAAAAAAAACAGTAATTGTCATGACTTTACACTTTACTGTTTCTTCAATTAAAGTCCTCCTCACGTTACAGAGATGCTGGTGTTTTGTTTGTTTTAGCGAGATGGTTGTTTCAAATTTTGTTATGGTTACCCCTCTCGTTCTACGAAAGAAATAAATAAAATACAATATGTGATATATGTATACAGATAAATACAATAACATCAACTTTCTGGGTAACTGCTCCAGAAAATTTATAGGTCCCCTGTAATACACCACAGGGCAACTCTTCACTGTCCAATTCCAATTCAGGAAATTGCTGTCTTTAATTGTTTCTAAAATTATGTTAGCAAGCAATGACACAAATTGCATTCATTCAAAGACACGCAATTTTCAACAGTAACCAATAGTTTAGTCACTCAGTAAGCAAGTGAGATTTAATATCAAGTCTTACGCCTTACGCCTAAAATGATCATAGCCTGCAAAACAGGCCTTCAGTTTTAGCCTAATCAGGCAAGCCGAGGTGAGTGCTCGGCAGATGCAAATCAGGAGTTATGGCTTGACCTTTTCCCTCATCTTGATCTCCCTAAATATGTCAAAAAAGTGCCTGTTTTCAGGCTTATGCCATTATGGTGAAATTGACCAATCAGTCTCCACCGACCAGAATTGTTAAATTCAACTGACTAGCAACTCTTCCCTTGACTATAATGTTGACTTCCACTCGGGTTGTCGAGATGCTACTGACAGTCAACAACGACAGTTCCTTTCAAAATTACTCACACTCAACCAGTCACATCACATGATCAAAAAAACGAACATTTTACTTCTTAAAGCAGGACGGGCCACATCATTAAGTTCGCAGCTATGGAACACTGAACTGATCCATAACTCATACATTACCAGAAGTAATACACAAATAAAATTATATCGTTACAACAATAGCACAATTTCACGCTTCTTTTACTAGTACAACTTAAAATATGTCCTTTGCAAACTTAGTTATCACAAATAAACTCCAAACTATCCGCACAAGAAAAACGAAATCTAAGTGTTTTGAGCTTAATTTTGAAAAATTGTCAATCAACACATTGGTTTAGTGATTGACGGCATTTAACACACATTAAAAAGAATTTTACCAGTACTCATGTTTTTCATTGTTTCCTTCCACATTACTTCAAACAAAGAGCAATAGGAACATTAAGAAATCTGTAAAGATTTTCTAGAGTTTGTTACTATCACGGAGTAACCCTTGGCCTTTGTTTGACTAACAAACGTGAACCGTGCAACTACCTGGTTGTCAAAAAACCTGAAAGACGATGATTTTGACACAAAAAAAAATCTACCTGGACGACCTTACATGCATGCAGTGCTTTAAATGCTGTAAATGAAACTTGTTTCCAGGCTTCGTTCCCTTTTTCCGAAACAAATTTCAGGACTTTTTCAGGATTTTTCCAGGACTCAGATTGATTTTTCCAGGTCTCCAAAGTTCACCTTAAACCCTTTCACTACCAACATATCAAAATAAATTCTCCTTACCATCTGCACACATTTTTATAACGTAAATTCTGAAAACTTTATTGCTTAAGTTAGGCAGAATTCCGGACTTTCCAAGACTTGTAGTCTTTTTCCAGCGCAGTCCTGGAAAATGTCAAAATGAATCTCCACCAAAGATTTCTAAGCTACGTTATTCCTATCTTACTTGATTACTTCCTCCGTCCAGAGCCATGTCTCAGGAAAGTTCTTACGAACAAGCTTTCCTGTTCTTTCTTCTTTTCTTTCCTTTTTCTCAATATTTGGTTGTTTCTTTGGTTTGTTTCTGTGGTATGTTGTCTGCCTGACTGACTGATGAAAGTTCAACCATAGACCAAATGACCCCCTTCTTCGAGCTATTGTTCGAAGATGATGGCGCCCTAAAATATGAACATGTTATCTTATACTTCATACACCATACCAACTAAGTGATGCACTCAGGTAGCATCCCTTAAGGTTTACCAAATAGTTCATTGCTATCCATTTACACTCCAGGGAGGACAAAGCTATTCCGAGAGTAAGGTTACTTTCTCAGCATAATCATATGATCTTTAGCACACTTTGAACCAGTCCTTTCAGTTGGAGTTCCGCTAGTTTGTCACCAAACCACCCCACCTTTCCCAAATAACATCATTATTCTGCAAAGCCACAAAAATAGCAATTCGACAGAGCAAATGGTTTGTTACCATAGTGAGTTAAAATGCATAGCTTACATCGTAAAATTATGTTATTTCTAACAAAAGTTACTTTTCAGTTTCTTGATTTTGCCAGTTAGAGTTGACAAAAATTTTGCATTAAATTTATGCTATAAACCACCCTCAATATAAATTTTTCTAATGCATTACACGAAGAGTGAATTCATGAAATAATGACAGTGACAATAAGATAACAGAGAATGGGTTAAGAACATCGTTGTGGCAGAATGCGTGATTAAGTAATAGACTTAAATGAAAGTCTCTCCTTTCCCCTTACTTAACCGAGTGAAATTTCCTTGATTATCACACGGTGGACAGGACAGTACGCTTCATCAAAACTTGAGATCACTACTTTCCAGCTCATGGGACAGAAGAGTTCAACAAATGTTAAAAAAATAATCCTGTAGACATATACTCTGAACTTGCATAAATTCCACTCAATTAAGTTGGAGTCTTGGATGAGAGAAATAATTCTTTTCACGGGGCAAATTGAGTGCGCACAATGTAATAATAATAATAATAATAATAATACATATCCAAGATCAAATCATAAACTTGTGAAAAAGTGTCTTCTATCTTTAATGTACTCCTTCTTTGATAACCTGTGTCGATCGCGCCATTCCCCTCTTAAACACAAATTCGTCCTTATCAACAGAGGGAGCCATGGTCTGCCAAAAGCAAAAAATCTTGTGGTTGATTGGTAATGTCTTATATTAGCCTCTCTTGACAAAGCAACCAAGTAATAAGCAAATTCATGAAGGAAGTTCACTCTCCTTTAGCAGCGCCATTTGGGTCAATTGTTCGAAACCAGTGTTGTGTGCTCTTTCTGATGTATTTGCACAATGCACATCCAAAGTGACTTCATTGTGAGACAAATGATTATACTTGGAACAGAAAGTGTGTTGACCACGATGACAAACTGTAACAATTTATACGATATAACCTTTCCACCCATTGCTTATTAAGGGCAAACTCTCACCCAGTCATTGTTGAGAAAATTCTCCTGGTTAGGATATGATACCAATATGAAGAAAATGCCTACTGACGTTAAGGGGTAAGGGTTAGATGCATAAAGTCAGAATTGTGTTTAATTGCTATGCAGATCAGGATATATGGCAAATTCTGAGCAAAGCAGAATGAAGAAAAACGAGAGAAAAATTGAGATTAATGAAGGATACCTATCACATGTGAACCTCGTAATGGCCAGTCTCTCTCTCCCTCTCTTTCCTTCTCTCCCCCCCCCCCCCCCCCTTTCTCCCTCTCCCCCTAAAGGAGCGTTTTCTCTTCTCTTATCCAACCATGTGTAGCCTCTTGATTACCAGTCTGTAAAAAGTACAGCACTCCTCATAAAAAGTATATATATAATTGTTCATGGCTCATAGGACTGAATAGTATGTCAAACGTGAAAACATCTTAAAGACATTTGCTCTAAAAACCATCCGTGATTGGTCACTGAGAGTCTATTTCCCCTTGAAGAGCAGGTTGAGTATGTACATAGTTTTAAAAAAAGATTCCATGAATGTACAATGAACTCATGGGGTGGTGTCCTCTATCTTTGATGATGTGCCCCCTCCTTGATGGAAAAAATATACTTCTTCCACGATGAAAAAATATCTTCCTCTTCAAAGGAGCTATGGTGTGGCAAATGCTAAACTCTTGTAGACACACGGTTATTCCTTTCATTGTTCTCTCTTGAAAAGCCAAATGACCTTCGGAAACTTCACAAAAGCACTTTACCGTCCTTTTAAAGAACTAGTTTGGTACTTATGTATAGCCCGCACTGGGTACAAAACTTCATTTATTTGCACCTCCTTTCGTCCAGCCAGTAACTGAGAATAAATCTTACAAAAATATTTTTCTCCGCACAGGCTCGATCCAAAACGAACAAGTTACAAAGTAACCCTGTACTTCCATCCCTTCCTTTCTAGCACTTTCACACTTTTACCACACCAAGAAGTTCCCTCCCAGTAATTAACAAGTAATTTAGACTTATAGGAATCAAATTATTAGATGCAAACTGGGTAGCACGAACAGGTAATTGAATTAAAATTTTGGTGAGCGAATTGTAAATAGTGCTAAAAGGAACTGACGTTGTCAGATTTCAAAGAATATCATTTGAAAAACGAGTTTGCCAGTAATGAGCAGAAACTAACAATGCTGAGGCCTTGGTCAATTCCTGTCCATTTTAGGTAAAAATGAGAGCCTAATAAACAGACCTGTTCCTAACCAAAATGCAAACAAAACTCCAATTAGCTCTGTGTTAGCCTGTTATGACATTTCATTGACATATTTAAACAAAAATGTACACGAAAACCCTGATGAGTTCTTGAAGAAAATACAGATTAGAACACTAACGGTTCTTAGACACAAGTAACACAAGGACAGATGGTGAAGTCTTACTTGACTACTTCCTCAGTCCAGAGCCAAGTCTCTGGAAATTCTTTACGGACTTTGACGGACTTTGTTCCACTTCCTTTCTGCACTTTGGGAGTGTCAGTGTCACTTTCAATCAATGCGTCCTCCTCCATATCGGGGTCAGGCCCCGCGTTTCTCATCAATGGCGCAGCTGACCAAAGATCTGAAAGAGGTATTGATGTTTACATGCCAAAAACTGAATAGGTTGAACTGTGTTTAGGGTAAGTTCAAAGTTTTTTTCCTTTCTAGGAAATTAGCTTGATCTTATCCAAGTTTCAACCTTGTCAAGAAACAACAGAGATAGGGGTACCACTAATCCTCCTAAATGGGATGCTACCTGACATACCTTTTCATTCATTGCTACCCATTTATACTGCAAGGTGGAGAGAGGAATTGTGGAGGTTGGGGGCTTGGCTCCGGAACACATCACAATGACCCTAGCCAAAGTCTAAACGAACCCTTTTGATCAGAGAGCAGGGTTTCTTATCATCAACTCACCCGAAATGTAATATTATTTGGCAAAGCTGCCAAAAGGAGTGTGACAAAGCGTGTGTTTGGCTCTCGCATTCAGTTAAATGCGTAAAGGCATATTAGTTCTAAATTACTATGCACATTAGGAAATATGGCAGACTTTGAGCTCAGTGATGGAATTAGGAAAAGTGAGAGAAAAATTGAGTATTGCAGGATACATATCACAGATGAACCTGTACAGGTCTAACTCTCCAGAAAGCTCTCTCAAGCTTATGTAAGAAAGAAGAGTGAAAACTACACTTGAACGTGTAGTAAGTACTGTAGAAAGAGGCCACCCTGTACTTAGCAGTCAGGTGTCAAACTCCTGTAGTTATTTACCCCAAAACACTGTAATTTTCACCACTATTACGAAGTCACCTCTATTAAGCCGTTGAGTTCACCCTTCGCCTAGTCCCAACGGCATGTTTCTGTTGTCTTCCACCTGCATTGGACAGTCACGTGAGATGGAACCAATCAAATAAAACTAACAAACTTTCCAGTATCCTAAATCCACGTTTAAATCCTGAAACCAATGCCACTCGTATCAGCTGTTTTTGAGCGAGTTTTTATACATTGAGTGATCAACTATGGCATAAAATGGCGCTTTTCACCATTTTTTTTACAATACCCCTATTCTGTAGAACCTGATTTAAGCAGTTAACCTGTGTTAACCCTGTAACCCCTAAGAGTGATTAGCACCTAACTTCTCCTTACAATATCATCCCCGAATCATAGATTAGTATGGAGAGTTTGCATACTGATGTTGAGGTGTAAAGGGTCAAACGGTCACCCTGCCATTCCCCATGGGTGAACCCTTAATACAGATTTGACTGTACTGTATGAGGACTGAGTGATAACGAAAATAAAAATATGAATATAATCATCAAAAGAGGACTAACAAAGAGTTTGGTACATTGTTCAGGCTGAATGATTGATTGGGTTGTACAACAAATAAAACAGCATTATTTAACCATGTGTGCCTTCATTGATTCTCAGTGCAAAGTGCAAAGCACAGCCTTCCTCATACTAAAGTTGATTTCAATGCTATCTAGATCTTAGAACTGAATAGCATATCAGAAACATGTGCTCTAAATTCAATTGCGTAAAATCCACTCTACAGAGTCACTTCTCTATCCATCTTTGATGGGGGTCTATTTTCCTTTTGAGGAGTACGTTGAGTGTGCAAAGAATTAAAACAAAAAACAAAAAACAAAAACAAAGGACTGAACAATGAAGTTATGGACTAGTGTCCTCTATCTTTGACGATCTGCTTCTTCCTTGATGGGGTAAAAATGTACTTCTTCTTGGGTAAAAAAAAATCTTCCTCTTCAGCACAAGGAGCTGTGGCCTAGCAAATGCCAAACCCCTGTACACACATGGTTATTTCTTGCATTGCTCTCTCTCTTGAAAAAGCCACGTGGATCTTGATTGAATTCATAAAAGCACTTCACTGTCCTTTGAGGGAGCCAGTTTGGTACTTGTGTTCACCTCTTGATATATTTGTAACCCTTTTCCTTTGTTCATATATTGAGGATAACTCTTAAAAAAAACGCTCTGTGCAGGCTCGATTCAAAACGAATACGTTTTGAAGTAACCCTGTAAACATCCCTTACAATCAAAATTGAACTGAACGTGCACCATTTTTTAAACTTACACATTTTTCCAACACCAGGTAGCTCTGAAAGTAATTGAAAACTGATTTGTCTAAAAAGGAATCAAACATTCGATGCAAAGTGCGTAGCATGAACAGGTAATTGCTCTTGCCTTGAGCCGACCAAAACTGAAATTAAATCTTAGCTAGAGAGTTGCAAGTAGTCCCGAAGAAAACTGATGCTGTCAGAATTTGAACAATGTCACTTGCAAAAATGTTTGCTAGTAATTAGAAGAAACCAGCAAGTGCTACATATGCAGGCCTTAGTCAGTTCCTGTCCGTTTTAGGTAAAAAAAAAAAAAAAAAAAAAAAAAAAAAAAGAGAGAGAGGCTTGGATACTAAGCTGTTCTTGTGAAAAATGCACAAACATATCAATTTGCTCTCATTTGATATGTTGTGTTCAGCCTGTTATGACAATTTAGTGACATATTTAAACAAATTTTTACATCAAAAGGCTGATGTGTACTTGAATAAAACACAGATTAGCACACTTCTAGCAGTCCTTCAGATCCATGATACAAGCAACACAAGGACAGGTAGTGAAGTCTTACTTGATAAGTTCCTCAGTCCAGAGCCAAGTCTCTGGAAATTCTTTACGGACTTTGACGGACTTTGTTTTTTTTTGTTTTCCTTTCTTCAGTATGGGAGTGTCAGTGGCAGCAATAGGTGACAACAACATGGGTGACAACTCAGCTCTCTCTTGAGGAGGGCCATTCCTGAACGTAGGGTGGTCAACAAAGAAATCTGAAAGAGGCATGGATATTTACATACCAAAATGCTAGAAGTCCTTTGGGCTGCGTTTGGGTAAGTTCAAAGTTCTTTTTACCTCTGCAGGAAATTATCTTAACTTGATGGCCAATCCCGACTTCCTCAGTAACATGCAACTGGAATTTAGTATTGCCACTTTCTCCCAACAGGAATCATGCGAGTTCCCCCAGTATTTCATCAGGTTTCCCTGACAATTTGCTGGTATCCACTATACACCAAAGGTAGAGAGACACACTGTGCATACCATGTCTCTCCATACAGTCTCGGAAAATAATGTTCACCTCATCTAGGAAGAGGAATTTCTTCTTTAGAGCTTCACTCGATGGATTCTTTAAACGTAGTGCCCAAACATGAGTCACTCCTTTTTTTCATAATTACAGTGAAAACAAACTGTTATGTGGTCAACTCAATTATAGTGCGCCATAAGAGAGATATCAAAATCAGTATATCAATTTAGTGTCAATGGTTGTCAACATGTCTCAGAAATGGTTATTACGAGTGTAACTATCACAAAACAGGAACATGGGTAGACACAGATCTGATGCACCTCTACGGGAAGGATGGAGTCTTTTCCATGTATCTCACAAACTTAATTATTAAATGTACCTTGATTGTTGAAATGTTAATATCGCATGTGTACATGCATGTATTAAATACTGTTATCATTAAATATGCTTGTACAAAAATGAAGGTTCGCGTCGGATGCACTTCCTTAGGAAGGATCGAGTCTTTTCCATGTATCTTACAAACTCAATTCGTCTTGGTCACTTGTAGGAGTTATAAGGTTGAGTGCCCTTTATGACAACAACAAAATCTGATTCACTTCAAAGTTTGTCACTTAAAAAGGCAAGCTTAGAGGATATACTCCTATTTAAGTCTGATCGTGTAGTGCTACCACCTCGTTGCTCCACTATCCATCCACTTTTTTTGCCCTGATGTACAGTGTAATAATGTCTCATATTTAGTATGATCTCCAACCCTAATATGTTCTTACAACGTAATAGTGGAAGTGCAACCTGACCAAATGAGCTCTGTGATAAAGATGTGTCCTATCTAGATACTGTATAATATGTCTGTCAAACTATGTAATCATGTAGCAGCTTACCAATACATGTGAAAACTAAAGCTTGTGGGCAAACGTTGACATTTGCAGGGATGATTAGCATTTATCAAAATATCAACTCACATTTTTACAGCGTGTTGAATAACCGCTAAATGGTACTTTTTTTCTAACATGATCATCACTAGTGTCAGAATTATTTGGATATCTTCAATTTCACGTATGGCATGGAATTTTGTGCAACAATACTTAGGTAATGTATGTATAACTGTTATGTGTAATTTAAGGGATTACAAGGAAATCTTGGTAAAAAAAATATAAGGAAAAGTATTAAACAGTGAAAGAGGAGAGAGATTAAAGCAAATATTGAGCTAAAACTTCTTTAAAAGCACACGTCAGAATCACAATTATTATCACTGGCAGCCTAAGCACACAAAATTAAAATGAAGTTAACGACAAAGTCAGACAGTGAGGTTTAACTGCACTGTTAGCAAGTTAGGAAAACACCTGTTTCCCCCATTTATAACAAACCACTGCAATATGCCGAATATTTCCAATTCTGAATTTCTGCATTTCCCTTTAGCTTCCTTTTCCTGTCCTGTGTCCCTTAACCCTTAAACCCCTCCACTCTCCTTGGCCCATGTATTCCCCTCTCACACTCCTCCTGTCCCATTTAATTAATGATCCCAGATAATGAACCAGAAGCAATGAACTTGCAAATTCTTCTAGGATGACAGTTAAATGGTAGGAATAATGAATAAGTGGTAGCAACAAGATGGTCATTAGGCAGGATTCCACTGAACTCAAAGATTCCATCGTCCAGATGTCATAGCATCTGCTTCACTGACAAATACTAGACCTTAAAATCCTCAATGACAACAACGAGAAAAGAAAAGAAAACTTACAAGGCGGACGAAAAGGCGTCTCGCATTTGGCAGTTTTAATTGTCAGATCAGAGAAGTATAAGATTCCACTATTCTGCAAGATAAGAAGGAATAATTGTTGAACTTCAATTCATTATGTAAAAAAAATCAGTGGGACAACTATCCTTCTCTTCACCAACAAACTCCATTTAAATAAATGTTTAGTGTAAATTTTGTAGAGATTTGTTCCAAGATGTGATAACTAACCTCAAAAGCACTTGAAGCATCCAAATCTTTTGAGTATCCAGGGAAAAATGATCGTCTGCGTCGCTGCCATGGGCCTCCCCACCAATATGGATTATAGCAACCAGAATGATCACTACCTCCAGAGGGCCCAACATCCTGAGAACTGAGTACTTGGATTGCCTGATAAGGTAATGTTTTAAGATGCCTTTAATTACATCACAAAATGGTTCAATCATTACTATCTTTCTTGTTAGTATAGAGTCCATGCATATTCTCGCAAATGGTTTTACAAAATTTCAAAATTGATATTTTAATTTACCAAATTTGAGGTTATGGATTTTTGCTGTAGGGTTGCTCCTTACGAACATTACATATAGTAATTAAGCACTTGCTGCCGCCTGGAAAAAATCTTGAGCCAGCTAAAGTGTTTTAAGTTTCATTTCTGACTACAAACTTTTCCTAGGACTCGAAAACTGGTAAGGAGAATTTATGTACATTTTTAAGGAATTAACGCCTTAATGGATGTACCCTGGTAAACAGAGTTTGAGGAAACACTAGCAAAAAAATAGTAATAATAGTAATAATCTTACATCATCCTGAGAGAGCTCATTTCCTCCTTTCAAGAGATGAACACTTTTGTCGACAGCGGTCACAGCTACTTGAGATCCCGGCTCAGCTGTTATGATCAAACTGGTAGCTTCCCCTGGTTTTCTGATGCTATCACTAAAACGAATCTTTACCTGCATGTCAGACAAACACTCTTGATGTAAACCATGTTGTTGCTTTCTTATCAAAACAGTTATCACTTGTCTCTTCTCAAACATGTTTTCTCCATAATGTCTTAAATTAAAGGAGGCATTATACATTGGCCACTCGCAACCTGAATTGAATGCTCAGATGTAAAACATCATTCTGTAATTATTTATTTGCATAGATTAATTCTCCAAATGTTACACTTGTGTGTGACACGATTAGTTAAACTTGTAATGATACAGTAACTGTGATTTCAGATATTGTCACATGACTTAAATCAATATATAATTTCATTTAGGGTTACTTCCAACAAAGAAACCATCAAATCACAGTAAAACTTATAACGTATAGATGACGAAACTACAAAATATTTTCACAGTTTTTGCTTTGCACGCGTGAGCTGACGGTGTTTGCTTTACTGAATTACCAGCCTCTGCCTTACCGCAGACCTCCAAACAAACTGGACAGAGTCACTCAGCATATTATAGGCTAACAAAGAGTGTGAGGCATTTACGATACTCCTATATTGTCAGTGGGCAATTGGGATTTCAAGCTAAGATAAAAGAAACTCTAACTTCGATTTCGTCCTCTCTTTGGCCATTTGATGAAGACTCTTACTTCTCAGCGTTTTGCGAAATGTGCCAGACATTCCCTTTCGTTTATGCAGTGCAAGATGCGATGTAAACACAATATGCAAATCGAGATCCAGACAAAAAGCCCGCGGAAAACGTCAACACTCTGTTGGAGGCCTTTCCTATTATGACAACTTTTTCTCTTTAGAACAGGTTCCCTTTAAAACATATTTTCAGCCGTATCTCCCGTTTTTTTTTGATTTTACAATTACTTTTACCGCAAATTAGACTTAACTTTTTTCTCTAAATGAAGAGAAAAACGATAAAATTTTGAAATTTTAGACAGACAGTAAATTTAACAAGTAAAAGCAAAGCAAACGGATACACCACAATAAAATTAATGATGACAAGAGTCATACCAAGACATGTTTTTAGAAAGCATTATCGTGAGTTTAAAATTTGTTTTGATCTTCTGTAAAATGTGTTCTTTTTTTTTAATAGCGGTATAATGAAGTTATTGAGAATCCCTTCTCAAATGCCGGATTACCTCATTTTCCAATTTGTCTTCCACATCAATCTGCAAATTATCTGCAACAGTTTCCAAGTCATCGCGCACATAGAACAGTAACAGACGGGATGACGGTACCATCCTCTGAGTAACAGCAAACTGAACAAACCCACTGGTGGTAAACATCCCTTTCCCTTTATAATTCTTCATTTCATGGAGATTCCTTCCTTGAGCTACGAGAACTCCACGGCTGAATATCTGAAGATTAGAAAGCAAAACATTTTTTAATCCAAGGATCCTTAAAAGGTCTTAAAGTAGGCAGTTTGAGTCAACCACTACTTCACTTGGAAAGGTTTTAGTGAAGTTTCTTGTTTGCTACCATTACCTGTACTAGATCTCTTTACAAACAAAAGATTTTTTCAGTAACAAGGCATTTCTGAGATGTCTAATTTCTTTGCTTTAAAAATAACGGTAAATGCACAGGCTTAGATAGAAATCTATCTACATTCTTATCGCGCAAATAAAACTTGTTCTCACGTCAAAAGTTTGCACTTGGCCTGGTTTTGAAAGTGAGGGCTTATGAAACTTGGAAATGGTCTATCATTGTTTCATAGTTACAACAGCATGCAACTGTATTGGTTTAAATTCATCCCAAAATGGTTTTTAGCAGCAAAACAACATACACATTGACTGTTATTTCTTCCGATTTTTCATAAAGTATACTGCTCATTGTGGAAAAGACATTGGAAGTATTTTGGTTGGAATGCTAAACTCACAGCCAAGAGGGCCAATTGGAGCCTCGGAAGGATCATTGTGTTGTGCCCCGAGACAACCCAATATGGTGTACTTAGCTAATCTGCTAATCTAGAGTTCATTACCCTAATGGTGGTCTAGCTAATTTGAAAAACACTCACTTGGTAATAGAAAGTAACGTTCTTTGCATCAGCTATGGTGGTGAAGTCAAACTTAACTTTTGCAGTTGATCCAACCTGTTTTAAAAAGTAATGACTTTTATTACAGTGTGATATAAACGTGATAATTATTACTAATGTGTAAAGGCAGGAGAGTTATTGTAATGTCACGGCTCATCAAATGTGTCCCTAGCATGCACACATAATATAACTATGACCTGTACTACTTTATTTGAATTGGTTTGTATCGTGAGTTTGACTTGTAATGGCCTTAAATAAATTGTGTTTAACCCTTTAACTCCCAAGATTTCATTACTTCTCCTTACTGACTGTCAAATGATTCTCATTGAGTTAGTTTGGAGAATTCGGTATCAGATTAAATAGTAGTCCCATATATGATATTTTTCTTTATTCTCATCACTTGTCTGCGTGATATTGCATATATATAGTAGGGAGAAATTCTGTCTTAGTCACTCATGGGAGTTAGAGGGTTAAACTCAACACGGAGTATTACTGACAATAATGTAAATGAACTGTTAAACCATTGTAAATTCAATGAGGTTGCAGCGTGACATGTGTGACTTGTGTCATACCACTGAGGTAATAATATATTCAACAACTAGGACCATGTGAACAACTTGTTCATCATGATAATCACACACCTAACAAACTGAACAAATACAACCATAGATGGTCTGGGGATCAACACTGGCTCCTCACAACATACATACATGTATGCTACTTGAGCCTTAAAATTAAGAGAAAAAAAACCTTTCAATACTGAGAAACAATTCTTTATAAATCTGACTTACAATATTTGACAGTCAAACAACCCCTCTCCACTCTGGCAACTTCTGCTCATGTTGTGAAATAGTCTGTTGTTATTAATAACACCAGTCCTTATTTCACTAACCCAGACAATCCCACTAGGAGATAGTCTGACGCTCACGAGTTTGCTTTCTTTAATTTACAATTTAAAAAAAGAACATGCAAAACCAACCTTCAGTGGAGATGGAACTCTTTTCATTGATATGTAGCTGTTACTTGGGGAATACCAACGCTTAGCGTTATAATATGCTAATGTCTGCTGCTGGTGCTTGGCCTTAGGAGTATTTAAGAAAAACAATAAACTATTTAAGACAAATCAACATTTAAACTTTTCTCATAACATAACTTAAATGTTAATCTAAATAGCAGGAGTCTTGCTTACTTAAAAAAAACTTACAATCTGTTTCATCTGCTGATATCTTAAGTTTAATGATTAAATTTCAAAGCTGTTGATATATGTCAATCTCAATGCATGCAAGGAACAAGCCCTGGTACACTACACACTGATCCACCTGATTACCAGCACATAAACAAACTTGGAGTTTGTTATGTTTTAAAAACATCCTGTCACAGGATGAGAACATGAATAAAAGGTTTAAGTCTCTCACGACTTACTAACCTGAAGGTTAAGAGATTTGGCATTTGAGGGAATTTTTGAACCATTAATCGAAAACTCAACAAGTCCACTTTCTGGTACAATGAAATATTTATCAAGCAATCTCCGCCCTCTTCCACGTATAACAATCTTAATTTGTGCCCCTTTCATTGGACTTCCATCAGGCTTGGTGGCTTTTACCTGTATAAGAAAAGGTAAAAATAAAAGAGAAATGAGATTCAAAAGATACAAGTATCCAATTCAGTTGACTCATAATACTTTAAACTGTCATGAGAAATCATGATTTCTTTGATAAGAGTCGAAGTTATCAAAGGATGAAAAGAATTGAACAACATGATGTGAAATGAGGGGGAACACATCATATTCCCTATACATGTTTCCTTTCTGTTTAAAAAATGTATTTACCAGTAAACAGATTAATTCAATTAATTATACACTCTAGGTAAAGAAAATGAATTGATGAGACTTAAAACAAAGCAGAGGGTCTGACTGCAATACTAAACTACGGTGTTATACAAGGATTTCCAGCCCTGAGAAAAGCCATAACAATGCATGTGAAAAAACACAATATCTTTTCACGTGTGTTTGATATCACTAATCAGCTGCTGACACTTCACTCGCCTTTCACGCCACTCAGTCAGGTTGATGAATGAACAGCAAAGCCTTTATCATTCTCAATCTGTGGTTGTTTGTAACAATTTTCTCAATCTTTTCATTTTTATTCATTAATAACGTTGACTTTTCTTGTCAGTGAAGGGCTATTGTGTTTATATAATAAACACTCGAAGAGGAATTCCATATCTACGCGCGCCATGTATTATTCTATATATATTGTTCACGTAATCAAAAGAAATGACTACTGTTAGGTTAAAATTAAGGTGGGAATAAGTTTAGTTCGAGTAAGTGCAAGTTTTAAGTCATCAAGGGTTGAAGTAAGAAGGAATCAACTGCTCTATTTAATACAAACTTAATAGGACTTAAGTATTAGCAATAATTGTAAGAAAAAACAACAGACTCTTACTTTTTACTCGTAATTGCTCGCCAAATTAATGGAAGCTTTTCTTATGATAATGCTCAGCTGGCTGATGTTTGAGAAGCTTGTTTCAGTTTTTATCCTAAGCATTAAAGGTCATTGCCTGTAACTTCAAACACTTGGTAGAAGATCTTTGAAAACCTTTACTGCATTAAGGATACATACCACTGAACATTTTAAGTGGTAATTCACTTCATAGTAACAGGCATTTTGGCAACACAGACAAGTTTAATTATACATTCTTCTGTATGACAACTGAGATCAAAATTTACTGTTTTCTTCTTGTTTGTTGTATTAGCAGAAGTAATACAAACCTGCCCACTATAAGCCATGCCTGGCTTAAATTCTTTTGGTGTACTTGGAAGAAACTTCAGTTTTGCTGTTCCTCTGACGATCTGACTTTCTGTTCCCGTAGCATTTTGAGAGATTCCTGTTGCTGTTTCCTTTACAGTGGCATTGATGGCAATCTTTGAATGTTCACAACCATGGCAATAGTAACTGTTGTACTGCTTAAATTTGTTCAACACATCCTCTGTCTTGATAGTCACATCCGTGCAACCGTCAATCTGAAAAAGACAACAATGCCAATTTTACATGTAACTAATAGTTAGTGAGAAAAAAATAAATTTAGATCCCTGACACCTAAATGTTTAATTAAACAAGTTTGTGAAACAACAGCAATAGACAGGTACAACATTTTCAATTAAAAAAGCTCTTTGAAACAGGATGAAAGCTTGTCTAGGAGCAGGTCACCAAAGAAATTTCATTATATCTTTGTCATCTAAAACAAAAGTCACATGGAAAAATTCAACAACTTTGCAGCTCTTTCAAAATGACTAAAACATCAATGGAATGTTTTTGCTCCAAGCTTTTCATTGAAGCAAGTCAACAAAAAGGTTCCAGAACATGTTTTTCCTCTAAAGCAAAAGCTATGGGCAAAATCTTCGCAACTTTGCAGCTACTTTGAATTGACTAAAACATCAATGGAATGATTTCACTCCAAGCCTTTATATTAATTGTTACCTCTTTTTCTGTTGTTATTTGTGTTTCCAAATACTTCCTTCTCCAGTACCAGTCAGGCAATTTCATTTGAAAGAGCACTGAAACAGTTCCTTTCACTGGCTTTCCATAGGTGTATCTATGGAATCATTAATAACATGAGTCTGGAATCTGTAAACTGACTTATTACAATATCTAAGAACCTGTCTGTGCAGCAATAGGGTGAGTGATGTCTGGTTTCCATTTTACCTGCAACACACCCTGTCTTACCCTTCTTTTATTCCAGTCTCTTTCATCCAAAGCTTTTGCTCATTATTCAGAGAAAAACAGAAGGCTAGAAGTCTGCTGAAATTTTAACCACAGATCCTTTCACTTAACTGAAACACTTCTCAAAAAACTGCATTATACTTAACAAATAGAGAAGCCTTGACTGTGCTCTGTTCTGTTGTAAAGCAGGCAGGAAGTGGCTAGAGCACTCAAGAAGTGTAGGGAGAAACACAAGACGTAGTCTCATGCGTGTCTCTCCCAATTTCTTGAGCCATGATGAGCCAGCCAAGATGGACTTCAGCATGATTGCAGTCACTTGGACACCATCATGATTAGTGTGAATTTTAACAGTTATACCAGTTTTTATTTTTTATTATTCCTGTTTGTTTGGTTTTCTTTTTGAACATGAAACTATGTATACTATATGAGTATTAGCTGTATTTGATTTTCATTATTGTACGTAAGCTTGCAATCCAGCTAACTGTGCGGGTCTCTGCTCACATTAAAATAATGTAAATTACAGTGCCTGGCATGTTTGCAAGCCTTTGTTTCACTCTCCTGTTCCAAAATTTCACTTTCAATTAACAAAAAAAAGAAAGAGAAGTCCAGGAGGTGGTCGGACATAGTACAATTTGGCAGATGGTGTGACAGCTTTAGTTCAGCTCTTGCTCCATGTTCTATAGTCTGATAGAGCACATGCTTTCAACCAATGACAGCATGCATTATATCAGATCTTTATTATAAACAGAAATATGCATTGTTTATAACAAAAATTTCGAGAATGCTCTCAAGACAAGAAAAGATGTCTGACTTACTGAGCACAAACCGTGGCTTTAATATCTTTGCTTTTCACTGCTACAAATGATGGAGGCTTAATGGTCACTTCAAACTTTGGCAGCACTGTAAGTTAAAAAAAGTTACAGCACGTTACAAGTTGAACAACATAGTTGTTTGCATCCCACACTGAGTAAGAAGGGGGTTGTCCGTATAATAGCAACCTTTTAGTTCATAAAACAGATACAACAGACAGCAGTGCAAACATTTATGTTTGGCATATCAATCTGCAACCTAACAAGTACGGTAAGGATTCCATTTAGCACCCTCCTTCCAATAAGCTAGGGTACATGTACATTGAGATCAACCGTGCTTCATCTTCCATTAATTTCTCATTCAAAATAGCAGTTTATGCACAGTTCCTTTATACAAATGATCTTGTTTTGTGGTGATTACTTGGCTGATTGTTCTACCAAGGAAGGATCCATGGAAAACAAGTCTGTTTTCAGGTCATTTTGATCCTTTTAAAAGAAACACACAAAAAAAAAGAAATATGCACCCTGCCCCCAATTAACACTCTGGTTCAAATAGGCTCCCTTCCTTGAGGTACCAAAAGTAAATATCAAGGACCCCAGGTGCCAAATAGAATCTTTAAGGTATCAAAGTTTATAATATTGATATCATTGTCTTTCATACAGACACTAATGTTTTGTGTAAAACAAACCATGGGTGAAATGCTTACAAAACTATGGTTTTTAATTTATGTTCTGTGCGTGAACTGAAAGATGGCATACATGTAGGTTAGCCAATCAGAACTTAGCATTCACATTACAAAATTAGACAGTACAATCTCATTAAGATATTTGTTCATGAGAAGACATACCATACTTATCCACTGAAAAGACAAGTTTTCCTTTTTCACCCTTAAATGGAAGGAAGAAATTGTTAGAAAGTTTGAATTACTATTAGTTTCAAATAGACAGACACTAGGTAGAAAAAGCTCTATAACTGGTCAGCCAGGACAAATCACTTTAAATTTACTACAGCTGTGTTTCGCAGACCAAGAGGCACAAGCAAAGAAAAATAAGCCATGTACTGTTCAGTGCATGTACTTAGAAAAAACCTCACTGGTCCCTTTCCTTAAACTAAATTGAAAACATGTAGTTCTCAGCACCCCATCACAAATTATCTTGAGTAAACCCTTTATAGGTTCAATCTTTGGCCACTAAACAATTGGGATATAACCCAGTGTTTTTGTTCTCATTTTTTACCGTTTTGTTTTGTTTTGCTTTACTAAGCATTGAGAGGGAAAGTCATGCATGGACAAGTAACAGTTGAACATTTTTGTTTTTTAATATTTTCTGGGACATAACTATTATTTTCATGACCAACAATAGAATTTTTCCAAGACCTATAATAGGTAAACTGATAATTAAATCACGGTATTTCTTTCTTTACTGATCTCACAAAAATCCAATACAAATTACATGACTTTCCATGTCCGGAAAACGAGATCATGAAAATTCAATAACTTTACAAATTTTTTGCAGACCCATGTGGGTTCTGAAAATACCTTAACTTCTGCTTCAATCTTCCAGTCGCCCAGAAGAGGCTGGCTTGATAAAGGAAACTTTAAACTAACAATTCCTAAAGTATGAATAAAAATCAAAACAGAGTATTGCATCATTATTTTTCTTTTTTTGGGTTAGAATTAAAGGAAACTGAGGTCCTATCTAAAGCAATTGATGTGTGAACAAAAAGCCTACATGAGTGACAAGGATATGCCATGTATCTATGCTCTGTAAGTATGTTTGGATAATACATAGAACTTTGGGATTATTCTGTATAAAAGACAAAAAGAGCACTTCATTAATGACTCACCACCAATGAAATCCACATTGTCCCATTGCATTGTACGTACTTTACCAGGACTCTACAAGAAATAATCAATACCCAGCAGTTGATTGCCATAGAGACCTGCATATAACCACCTACTTAGACTTATATTTGATCTTACTCTGGTATTGTTTGACCATTATTTTTTCATTCCTGATAGATTTTTAGAGAGGTTTTACACAAAAAACAAATACGAATTACTACTTTGAGCAAAAGGTGATTTGTAATGTAGCAGACAGGTAGTTGATCAGTAGAAAAGGTACTGGGCACAGGTAGCTTTTGAAGAATTAATTTGCATCACAGTGCATGACAATGTTCCTTGTTCAGTAATGTTTAGCTACTCAAGGAAGTTAAGGCAACCTTTAACTGGTTAAAAGGTCTCTTGAAGATGAGGGTTTATTGCCACTCAACTGCAGGACAGCTGTTTTTATTTATAAGTTTACACTTATAAATTGAGTCATCTTTGTTTAGGAGCCACCAATCTTGCAAGAACAATGATCAATTTCTATCCATGCAAATATCTTTACGAAGTTCATGTGACTTTACTCTACAGACTTGTAAATTTTAATGATCAGTGTTAATTTATGCAAAGTTACGGCACATTTTTCAGATGCTCTTGCAGATAAACTACACCCCTGAACTGCTGCAAAAAATTTTGGGAAAAAGACACCACTAATACACCTGTGTTTACAGCACCTCCTTTTCATTAGTTTGAAAAAAGATGCCACATCCAAAGACCTTTAGGTAATGGAATCTTTCCCTCTAAAGAAAATAGCTACTGAAAACAAAACAGTTCTACTTACAGTAATGGAAACTCTCTTGACCTGTGAAGAAACATCACAAGAGGTGTAATTATTAATGATTCTAAAATGCAAAAGACATATATTTTAATGTACTGCTGTGTAATAAGTCAACTACTCAAAAGAAGCGTTCTGCTACAATAGCATTTTGCTGCATGATTTGCCTAAAAAGTCAACAAAAATTTGTATTTGTCAGAGTTTACCTGTCCTGTTAAGGGCTTGAGGTTTTCATCCACACCAACAATACGCATGTTCACTAAAAGAAAGAAAAATTAACCCTTTACACCTGAACTTCAGTTTACATATTCTCTACAGTGTTCTTTACATATTTCCTAAGTGCTGAAAAGAAGGTTTTGTTTGAAGGGAGAAATTAGATGCTATGCACTCTTAGGGTTTAAAGAGTTAAATAAAACTTCATTGATGAAACTGCACACATAAGCTTGTCTATTCTCCTTACCTGTTTGCAGGATAACATATTTGAGTAATGAAGGGAAGTCACTTCTTAATCACTTCTGCAGGTTTAAGGGGTTAATGCCCTTCTGGTGAAGATTATGCCTCTTTCTCAAAATTTCTCTATGCACGGGTCAATCTCTTAATAGAAATTTAGTGAAATTACCTGTCTGGCCTGGTTTGTAGATTGGCTTGTCTGTTTGAATGAAGACAGAAATCTTTGGAATTTTAATGGTTATTATTTCACTCTTCTGAATAACGAGCCCTCCATGAACTGGTCCTCCAAAGACATTCAGCTTTGCTCGAATGCTGTCCCTCTTGTTGGTTCTCAAATTTCGTGGTATCTTGAATAAAACAAATAATATGCAATGTAAGGTACACACACCTATGCCAATAATGTTTGAATCAACAACTTTGCATTTTTTCTGTTGCAGGAAGGCATTTAAGAGTCATCACCTTGAGTGATATACAAATTCCCACAACATAGCATTTGTGTGAAGGAGTACACATAGATGTGAGCAATGAATGACAAAAGAGGAATTAATATATATGCATTTGCAAGTACACCACTGCACATATGGAAATTTTTTATTGCATGTTTGTTACTAAACCCTCTGTAACTAACACCAATTACATGCCCTTGACGTGTGTGTGGGATGCTGCATTACACATAAGCAGTAATACATTACTCTCCTAAATATATATTAAAATTTTCCACAATCCCATACAAATTGCTTAACCTGGTTAAAAATAAATTTGGATAATTTGTTCTACCAAAGTTTAAAGAGTAATGTAAAGATATCCTCTGCCTTCAAAAAGGTTATAAAAGGAAAAGATTAGTAGAGTTATTCTGATTTGAGAAAAAAATTGCACTTTTTCCAAGAATATCTTGAACCTTTGATACACTTACATTGAGTTTAAGGGTTCCTTCTGAGTCACTAGTGAACTGTGCTCCATCACTAGCTATTTCTTCACCAGGTCCTGACCTGTAGGTCAGTGAAGCACGGATGAACCATGTTTCATTGACATCAATGAGACTGACAGATAATTCTTGGGTGCTGCCAGCACGGAAAAGTCTTGGGCATGTTATAAGGTAGCCACTGCAAATAAAGAGAATAATAATAATAATAATAATAATAAATAATAATAATAATAATAACAATTGTTAATAAGGGAAGATTGAGGATCTCAATATGTTCTGCATCTGCATTGTAGGATGTTAGAGACTTATAAAGTGGTAAGGTCCATGGAAATTTGTCCTCACTATTTTTATTTGTATGTTGTTTGAATGTTTTCTCTTTTTAATATTTTTAAGGGGATGGATTGCAAGGATCAAGTCCACCATTATGCAGTTTTATCCAGGGGTTTCAATGAAAGCCGGTTACCAGTGGTCTACCTCCATCTGCAAGACATCTTAGTGCTATCTGTTAACCCTTTAACTTCCACATCAAATTTGTCATTCTCTATACTGTCAACCATACAATTTTTGTAATGTTAGTTCAGAGAATTTAGTATTGGATCAACTAATTATCCCAAAATTTACATTTTTCTTTATTCTCATCACTTATCTGGTGGGTATTGTATTGATATTGTAAGGAGAAATTATGTCCTAGTCACACATGGGAGTTAAAGGGTTAAGTCTGTGAGCAGGATCTCATGTTTGGTTGTCACCTCATAACACTGTTGCAGCATCGGTGGCCACTTATGGAAAAAGTTGTTAATACTCTGACCACCACTAACATAGTATACAAATATTTTCCTTTCAGAAGAAAAACTTCACCTATCAAGTTTCTTGTGTTAGCTGAGAGCCAATATAGAACACAGCTATACGTAAGAAAACAATTTTCCAAAAGATCTAATTAGGGTTTTAATTTTACCACCTCTGGAATGAGGTAAAAATATTTTACATATTACATGTACTGGAGTCTTCACAGTCTCCCATTCAATCTATTTAAAACAATCAACTGAACTTTAACCTTCCTTTGGAAAATCTCTTGTCAAAATTTGGAGAAATAAGTTGATAACCAAATCATACTTATAATCAAAAGGTTTTAAGAAAATTAACTTAATACAGGAAGCTTGGAAATTAGAAGTTATCAATTTGAGCACTAAAGTTCAATGGAAGCGTAATTTTGCATGACTTCAAGGTCTTGCTAAAAATATTATACCACAGCCTTTCACACAAAGACCACTATCATAACTCGATCACAAAAAAGACAAAATTTCAGAGACAAAATTTTGCACACGTGCAAATCAATAGTTTGAACAAACTCATACACATCCGAACTTTAAAAAATTGCTTGCACACCGTTGTCTAGTATTTCTTTTGCTTCTCTTTCTACGTGAAGCAAAGAAAATGAGATACATTTTAATAATGGCTTTACGAAGGAATAAAACGTGACGAAGGAAGTAAACTTAAATTGCTACATTCGACAAATAGGTCACTCGGCTCTTTCAACATTCTTCATTTTTTTCTTATTTAAGTTCGTTGTTGTACATCAATATTTGTTTAATTCGTTCAAAACATAAGAGTACCCTTTTTGAGCACTAAACCGACCTATTTGAATCTTGGGAGAAAACTTATACCAGATGAAGCTAGAGTAGATTTCAGACATAGCGAAGACATTGAGTGAGGACTTTCGACTCAGCCTGAAAAACGAGGTTAAACTTCGACTAAACCGCGTAAATGTGCGGGTATTAGCTGATTTAAGAGGTTATGAAGTGATGAGAAAATACGTTTCCGACAGAACACCCCAATCATCTTGAAAATGCACAGCAAGATGAAACGCCTGCTGTGACTTGAATCAACGCCTGCTGTGATTTGGTTTCGACAGAACAATAGTAGATAAAAATATCGCTGATCAAATTCGTGACCCCTTGAATAGGTCAAATATTCTGCTCGCGCGCGATTTCTTACACCATTATAACGAAGGTATTCGTTTGAAAATTGATTGGAGATTGAAAAGCGTTTTGGTGTTCTTACAGAAGAAGAGGTATACGGTGAAACCTGTATTGATGGCAATTCAGCCAGCGCTCTATGTTCCAAAACTCTGTTCAGTGGACTTTTAACTGAACCCTTGTGTGACCCAATGGACACTTCAAAAGGTTTTACAATATACCTTAGATTTTTCATATTTATAAAAAAAAACAATAAACAGTGTTCGTAAAATCGTGCTTAAATTGAGAAGAGGCACGGGGTTTCAAACAGGTAAAAAAGTAACCGATGACATCAGCCCACCAACAAAATTACAGGAGAAATTAAATTCTATATCATCGCATAATTTGTGTAGCAGACGGAGATCATGTATCGAGCTTGCTCTGGCAAGGGTGCCGTGTTTGTTTATAACGTCATATTAAAGTGAACATCCCGGAACCAGGGTAGATAACGTTTTGACAGCGAGTTAAGAGTGCGTATTTACTTCCCGCCACAAAAATATATTTTGCCGAGTCACGGTTTTTTTCGCACTTCGCTCTCGGAAAACTGTTTTGCTTTTCGGAATATATAATGTCCGGGGACATGTATCCGTACATATTTTTGCGTAAACTGTATTCTATTGTTTGTCTGATTTAAAGGATAATTTGCGTGATATTTGATTTTATACGATTTGGAACGTGCGAGTAATTTCTCAAGATCTTGTGATTCCTAAAACAGACTTCCTGAAAAGCTGAAAAGCTTCACCTTTCTTCAAGGTTGATCGTTCGGGCTACAATTTTTTCATTGAGGCATATGTCACTCTTAACTATGCAGTTTCATTTCAAGCGACCGGTCTGTCTAGGAAACAATTTAAGACTGTAATAAATCAAATGTTACACAGGTATACCATTTATCCACCTTCTATCTTTAACAGACTTTCACTCTCTATCTTTAATGGACTGTCATCGAGGTCCTAGTACATACACTCCGCGGCTAAAATTATCACGGCTTTATACTGAATCTTAAGTTACGTCGACATAGAAAAATATTAAAGCGCTCGGACGATTTTGAAGGAGGCATAGCGCGTAAGATCTCCAAGCACGTCGTCTGATAGCGCATTTGCGAGAGAAATCTTTTTTCACGAGCGATGGTATCTGGAAAATTGCCCGAAGTAAGAAGACAGTACATGGTTAGACTTACCTCTCAACAAGACTCCCGGACTGAGCTAAAACTGCAGCAAAGACCAACACAACTGTTGCCTTCATCTTTATCTTGCTCGCGTCTAAGGAGCAACGATATCTTTACGTGTGAGTGACCCAGAGAAGTTGTTTCTTATAAATTGGGGGAGGCTTAAACGGTTGCGCAAATTTGAAATTAAGAACTTTCGCACCCACGGCTTCCGTTCAAAGAGAAAGGGAACATATCAGGAGATTCTGACATCATTACGAAATCTAATACTTCCATTTGATAGCTCTTCTCCACAGGCGATGAAATTTGTAATTCAACCCAAAAATAATAGTGCAAATACGTTCTGGAATTTCAAATCTTTAACTAAAAAACATGAAATAAATAATAAGATACTCGGACGCGTGAGAGTCTGAAGGGATTTGTATTAAAAACGAGTTTTGGCTGAAAGTGAAATTTCCCTGAGCGCGTTCATATTAATGGTGGACTGGGTTTGGGCTTCGGGACTAAAAATTTTAGCGAGGAAGGCTTTCCCAAATATTCTGATAAGTAATTCTGTGCTTTAGCTGCTGCCATTGCTATGAAAATATGAAACAAGTAAAAATCCATGAGCTGAAAAGTTTGACAATCCTCATTTCCTTCTTCCCGACTTCCATCTCATAAGATTGTTTAAGGAAAAGATTCTCCTCAATAGATTCTCAACGATTACTTTAGGTATCCAAAATTCTATTCTCAAGCAGGCTCCACTTCAAGACTTCAGTACTGACGATTTACACTTCTGCAACCTCACCCCAAAACCCGTCTTTACTCAGAAATGCCAAACAAGATCTTAAAAACCACAAAACTGATTAATTCATCTGGTTTCGTTGAGGTATGACTTGTCTTAATCGTTAGTCATGACGACTAAATTCTTCCGTTGAAACAGCCTCACGTACAAAGTTTGTTCCATAGAGCTTTCTATAAATCTTACATCTTGAAAGAAGAATTTAGTTCTTCACGTCTTCTCAGTTATTCGTCATTGTAAATAGGACACAACAACAGAATCATGCACGTACTCTAGTGGATACAAAATTTAGGGCGTGATTATTGTAGATTTTTTTCGAGAACCTTGTCACTACGACTATTTTACATCTAAGCATTTTATCCGGAAGTGACGTTCGTCAAACCCATACCGGACTGCCTGCGGTTAAATTAAGTAACTTTGTTCCCCCATGAAAGTTTTTCGTGATTTATCTTTTGGGGGGAACTATCTCTATGTCACGTTGAGGGGTAATTGTAATTTCTAGAGAAAAGAACATTTGCATGTACATTAAGCAGCAGGAAATCACCAAGAAGAAAAACATATATTTCTTCTAGAATGTGTGACCAATCGAGTCATACGAAGGGAAGCTATTTAGTCGATAGATGATTCGTGGATGGATGTTTCGAGTGAGCTCGAACACCAAGAATACAAGATGTACAGCCTTTGCATATCTTTGATGTGTGGTTTCACGAGATTTTTTCCGCGCGAACTTATAACTATTTTTTTTTCTAATGAGTTCCTGATATACAGTGTAGTCTGACCCGTTTCTTCCGTGGCAAAAAGAAATGGCCCCAGGCAAAAAACAACAGTTATCTCCTTTGGGAAGTCTAGATATTATTCATTATTTCTTACGTTTTGAGTCTCCAAAGGATAGTCAACGACCAGGCCCACAGAAATAAGTCGTTAGGGAGTTTCAGAAACGAAAACGGGACGCCGTGGACAACGTCGGTTAAAAAATAAACTTATATTCTACCTACGAATCTCCCAATACTCTAAAGTAATTTATTTTGTTTATTACTGTCAAAACTATCTCGAAACTGAATATGGAACACAGCGTTAAATCGGAAATAGAAATTTAAAAAATTAGCCGTCGTTGTTCTCGTTCTCCAGACAACGCAAAGTTTGGTCATTTCGCGTTGTTGTTTTGCAGAGGAAGCAAAGAAATGTACAAAGATTGCACAGCCATTGTTCTGCTCATGAAACCTTTTGTTTAATGACGTTCCTGTTTCCGTTGTGGTTTTCTTAACCCTTTACACCCTAACATCAGTATGCATATTCTCCATACCGTTCTCAATATATTTCCAAAGGTGCTGAAAAGGAGAATTTAACAATCTAGAGCCTCTATCATTGGTGATCATTTCCTTTTTTCTTATGACCTCTACGTATGATTTTGGGGGAGATATTGTAAGGAGAATTTAGATAATAGTCACTCTCAGGGGTTAAAGGGTTAAACTCCTTAACATTAGCGCCTCATCACGAGGGTTTCTTCACCCGTAGGAAAGTAGGAGGGTTTTTGCAAGGTGCCTGGTGCCATATCCCCGCCAAGCCTCTCCCGACTCGTCTCAAGTCTTCCCGCGGGTGAAGAAAAGTGCATCCTGCAGCGCTAATAATAGGGACCTTAAATAGTCAGGGGGGCAACACCAAGAAAGATATCGATTGAAAAATGAGTGTCTATTCTCAGTTAGAATTTCGAAGATGGCTGTATGTGTTTACCGTCTCTTACGGCGCCACATCTCAACTTCAGTATAACGTCTATGAGCAGCGTTGAGTTCCAGATGGAAATTAAAATAATTTGCCGTCGTGGTTTCCATTCGCAGACGACGAAAATTTTGGTGATTTCATGTTGTTGTTTTTGTAGACGAAGGCTGAAAAATATACAAAGTTGGAAACGCACGTGCTGAACCACTGTTCTGCCCATTAGATCTTTTGTTTTGCCATGTCCTCGTTGCCGTCGCCGTCGTGATTTGCTAAAGGTCCCTAATAAAGGCCTAGCCAAAGGGTAACCTTCATGTCTGCGACCAAAATTAGCCGTAAAATGCACAGAACCCGCCGGATCAGGGGCAAGAATGATGTTTTGGACCTCATCACTGTTAAACAAACTGCAAGGATATGGGAAAAAATGGGACTGAGGCTATGTTACGTCACATGCAAGCAGCTAGGTCACCAAGAAAAGTTTAAAATGGGGGCGTCCCTAGTCAAGCTTTATGCTCATTGAAAACTTTTAAAAGGTTGGTTTACTCTTAAGAACCTTCGGAGATATGAATCCGTAGTTTCTGGGGCATACTTTTCGATGCAAAGGGATAAAGGAAACGCTAGCGAAGTGAATGGGCCATGTTGGCGTGAATTCCATCAGTGTGCCGCCGAGCATACAACTTAAAAAACCACGGCAGGATTATGACTCACTACTGAAATAGCTCTATGTGGGTTTATTTTATGTAAGGAGTTTCATAAGTCACCACCTCGAGAAAGAGTGACATGTTATCTAAGTATATCTTTAACAAATACGACTGAAATAACAAAGGCTCATATCTCAATTCCAATTTATTTAATGCCATTTAGGACTTTTTAAGTAACTTTTCTTCTTCTGAAAAGAACAGAAAAATACTTCATGCTGAACACAACGTTTTGAAAAATTTCAGTTAGAGTCGAACCAAGTCAATTGTAAGCGTACAGATTCCATTCATGTATCGGTTTTAACTTAAATGGTCCATTAGTTTTAGAGAGAACCTTATTAAACTCAGCATTCCTTGATGCGTAATGGACCATTCATTTTCAGACTGCAATTGCTTGCGATTGAAAAATCTTTCAGACTTAAGAACGGATAAACTACGAACGGAATCTACCGTTAGTGCTGTGCTGTGAAGACTGAATTAAATTTGATTAGGGCAACAACTAAGGAACACCATATGCAAATATTACGCTTGAAATGATTCGATCGTAACGATGTTAAAAGTTGGCAAGATAAAAATAAATATTAAAATGGAAAACTAAACGTCAGTATGAACGCATACGATTCAATTACCAGTGTTTAGGGAGCTAAGTACCCATAATATTTGGGGAAACATTTTTTTGCATGGAGCAGAATTTCCGAACACCTACTGACTTAAAAATATTGGTTCTGCGAGGGAGACAAAAACCAGGAGGAGACAACGAACAGAATTTCCGAACACCTACTGACTTCAAAATATTGGTTCTGCGAGGGAGACAAAAACCAGGAGGAGACAACGAACAAGAAGGAGTAACTGGGACGAGGATTGGATGGAGATGAATTAATTGTAAATGACATAAAAAAATAAAAAAAAACTCGGCGTGCATCCACTTGAAAAGGAGGTTTGCGTCGATCACTATGAGTTTGTAACAAGACTGGTACAGAAAAGAACTCTCGTTAACCCCAGCCACGTTTCTATCAGTACAGTCACTTAATATCATGACCGATAAAATGTGACTTTCGGTACATTACGCTTAAAAAGTAAAACGTTATACAAAAATATGAGGCCATACTATTTCCTGAGGGGAACTCAAAAGATATATTACAATCTTCTCTGTTACTTGTATACACGCGTGTGCTCTTACCACTTAGTAAAAAGTATATTTACAAGCAATGCGTGACTAAGTTTTGATTACAAGTGGATAGGCATAATATTCGTGGAGATAAGAGGTTAGGAAAGCCGAGCCCTTCTGTGTGCTTTCGCTTAATTTTTACGTTTTTTCTATTATCGAACTCATTGTACACAGCGTTCATTAAGCATTCAAATCTATCTGGACCAAGCAACCAAACAATATTACTGTAGAAAGCAACAAAGGGTGAATCCACACGAAAAGATTGCGTACAGTCGAGGAACTCTCAATTGAAACTGGAGCGCCGTTTTCCAAATTTGATTTTCTCGGCTTTCCTCGCCTGACACCTTTCAAAACTATTCTATAGTCTTCTAGATCGTGGATACCATTCTCTACGCTCTCATACGAGCACAGCGATCGCTAGTCGTTAGAAGCAAACTGTACAAATACTGAAGACTAAATAGAAACCACGTAGCACGCTACTCAGTCTCAAGCCAAATTGAAGGAGTTTGACCAAATTAAACACAGCCAATGAAAATACACCGACAATCCTGAGACGCTGTAGGACATATTGTCTCAGGGTGCGGAAAGAGCGGGAAAACGCAGTTTAAGTTGAACAAAGTCGCCATCTGGTTGGCTAAAAACACAACACCTAAAACTCATCGGTGAGGGCAAAATGAGCGGCATTCAATAACCCATCAGAAGTTTGCATTCGTAAACATAATCCAAATGCGAGCATCTCGTATGAGACAGTCTTTACAAATTGTACAAAGACAGGTAGTCGAAAAATAAATCTTATTTGATGTCCATAAAGACGAGGGAGATGACACTTAAATAACACAATAAACACATTTTC